GCATTTGCAATGATTAGAGCGATACGTATCAAAATATCTATTTTTAGACTTGTCCAAATCATATTCAAATAAAAGTTGCAATCGTCAAGTCGCATATATCGCGTTCTGTTGAGCTCTACAGTAACACCTCTTCAGAAAGGCCCTCTGCAGAGCAAAATACATTATTACTCTTTACAACAACAGTTCTAGTTCTTCCCAATGCATAACTTTGCAATAAATTTAAACTCTCTGAAGCAAAACATCTCAGCCACAACCAAAATCCCAAAGGTGTTGCTCCGCACAGGTTTTACTATACATAGCATTATTAACATTTACAATTATACGGTTGGTCATTATAAAATTAAAAGCATTATATTTGTCTTCCATCAAAACAGGCTTATTAAATTAAGGTGAATTTAATCGTGACAAAAACTGATACTTATCTAACTAACAGTGAAGCTGAACCACATTTGTGTTCATTTAAGCAATAAGTATAGTTAAACTGATTTGGAATTTTATATGGAAGTTAATATACCACAAAGTTTACATTTTCTACCTTTACCACATACGAGGATTGTTAAACATATAGCGTTCATTTCTGTAGGCGATAAGCATCTTATATGTTCTAAATTTAGTATTACACTGTTATAAAGCACATGTTTGCTATGTCTACAGAAAGAACAATATATCAATTTCCGACGCTTAATGGGGACTTTTGATATTTTAATAAATCGGAGCGTGGGTCAGATATCTGTTCACAATGACCCGTTATTTTAGCCAATGTATCGGTCTCTGGTGGGAACCAAGAAGGTATCTTATCCATTTGTATGCCAATGTATCGTTTGTACACGAATAAACAATGCTTAACAGTTCAATTGTTTCACCTAATTGCTCGTACAGTACGATGCGATCTTATTTCTACATTGAATAGAGAGGTCTTTTGAATGGCGGTATTTCAAAGATGGCCCTGATATTGGTCAAATTGTGTGTGAAATATCTCTCCTCTTTCTCGTCATTTTCGGTATTGTTTATTATTAGAATACAAATGTTGAAATGAAAGCTTGCTTGCAACTAAATTTGTCATAAAAATTGCAAGATTTTATTGATAAGGTTGATTACACAAAAAATAATGCTTGCCTACAACGACATAACGTCATCTGTAGCGTTCACAATCAAATTGTAATAAAAGGACATATGGTAAAAAATAAGCAATTAACTATTCGACATATCTCTTATTCTGTGTAAACAATGTCAGCCAATAGTTTTGCTCATAATTAATACTTTCAAACCCGACTCCCCCACCACCTCCTCAAGTCTTCTAGCTTTCAGAAACGACGTCGAGAGAGTGGTTAGTTTAGAACATGTAGAACAATTTTATCAATGACGCTCTTGAAACACTTAAATTTTGTGCTGTTCTTAGAACTGATGATGAAACAAATAGCAAACCTTCTATGCAACATAAATCAAATAATTCTATCGTTTCATGAGCAATGCAAACAAAATAGAGCATACAAAAAAATGCTTTGTTCATATACGGATAATTTGTTCTGAACATATGTGCCTAAGGTTTGTACATACGAAACAGCGTAGAAATAAATTATAACTACAGTATATATAAATATATCTACATCCTATTCCCTGGAGTTAATTATAGTTAAATCGTTCTTGTTAGAGTACTGAGATGTTACAACATTATTTCAACAATAAAGTAAAATATATGTTTGATATATTTCCATACACTAGTTATATAAACTTTGTATTAATTGAGTTAACTTAAAATGTTGAATGTCAATGAATCAACTGTGATTTTTAAAGTTAAAGGAGGTTTATGAAATGAAATTCTTTCATAGATCAAATGTTTAAAAATCAACAAAGGTTAATAAAGACATAATATACTCAGAATTAAAATAAATATTAGAATCGAATTCTTTTTGTGCGATTATATGCCGATTTCATTGAAAAGCGTACGTTGCACCGATTTTCATTTTTGAGACATTTTTCATTATGAAAGGGATTCTTTAAAAAAAGGGGGGGAAATGATCCTAAAATTTGCAAACAAGTCATTAGTCAAGACCTATATCAAATGGCATCCAAACCTTGGAAAAACATTTCAAGTCCCAACATGTCAAAAAACCTCAGTGGAGCCTCTTTAAGATACTGATACACTTTAAAGTGACATCGACAACATTTTGGCATTATTGCAACTTAAAGGTATACATGTTGAGTGACAGGGTGTGCCTTCAAACACAAGAACGAAACTGTGTAAAACGAAATCCCTTCTTCAAGCTACTGAACAGGTCCGGTCAGTTCCACTCAGGTACAAGAAATAAATTAATAGTTACACCCTTACTACAGAGAATGTTCATTTTGCACACTCAAAAAAAACGTTATTAGGGGGCTGATAATATTTTTTTTCTGAATATTTTCGATCTGCACCACTAAAATACATATATTTTCAATTTGGCGCACTCGAAATTACTTAGTGGAAAAGTTTTTAGAGTTAACTTTTATATTTAATATACATTATTTAAAAACAAAACAGATTTAAAATATCCATATAGAATAAAATACTTTCGTGCAGATTTCTAAGGAATTATGCCCTATTTTTCTTTCGGCTATACTATAAATCACTCCATTAAATCGGCTGTTTATAAAAGAAATTCAAACAATGAACTGTTAAGTGTTTATTAGCAGGCATTTACGATAATAAATCCGTCCGTCCGTTCGTTCACACAATGGTGGGAAAAACGAGAAATTATGGTAGTCTGATGTAACTTGTATTTTTCTAAGAAAGAGAAGGGGTGCATAAAATTATGTCTTGTTAGTCTTAGATGGAGTTTCAATGAACAGAAGACACTCCTTTTCACGTCTGTTTAAATAGTTCACAGTGATGGACAGATATAGTCTCGGTGATATCGCAAACAAATGAATGAAAATCTCCAGGCGGCGCCAAGAATATATAACAATGTGTATTTCCATTTATCATTTTAACAGTGTAAACATTACACAAATATTACGTAACTGTTCAATTGTGATCTAAATCATATCCTCTTTTATAAATACGTGGGGCTTTTAAAATGGTAACACGATTCTACCGATAAAAAAGGGAGAATTTCTTTGTTTTCCGACATCGTATAATACATGTATATAACAGAACACGACTGTTGAAATAAAACTGGTTCGAGTTAATTTCTCGTAATTTACATTGCCAAGTTGATTTAGACCGTTCGAAGAGATTAATTTGTCACACACGCACGGACAAACCTTATAAACAAATAACGACATCCTTATTATTTTGTTGAAACTTTCTTTTTTTCCAGAAATTAAAAAGCAATGCAGTCTTAGTGTACCACATTGTATCGTTTTTAATTTTTGCCGAGTTGATCGACCTTAAGGGATTTCATCTTTTTCTTCTCATTAATATGTCAGTAAACTTTATGAAAATATTTAAAATTAGGTACTAATTACAACTTTATTTGTACTTCAATGTAAAGTTATCTAAATCATTTATTACCAAGCGTAATAGTGGTCTTCCGTTAATAAACGATCATCACTAATAAAAGTTAAGACATTACAATCTGAATGTAAATATAGACAGCTCTGCCAAATAACGATTTCTCACTCAATTGGATACAAAAACTGTGCATTTTTGTACCTGTAAATAACACTTGAAAAATAGTCTTGCATATGTCATGTATGTAATTAAGTTCTTCAAAATATGTTTTGTTATAAATGGTAGCAAATCAAGTGTTTTGTCATACATTTTAAATTTCACCTATCAAATTAGTTTAGTTTGAACATATTTATTTACACTCGATTGCGAAACAAGTTCTTGCAACTTATATTAATCACTTTCGAGTCCGTTTTCTGGAACCAACCAGTTCTGGTGTCGTATGAAGAAACATGGTCGTGACCCGAGTAGGGCTCAAACCCATGATCTCTTGGTTAAAAGGCAGACACCTAAACTGCTAGGCAGCCGCTCCCATCTATCAAATTCGTACATGTAAAGAATATAAACAAGAGTAACTTTTCTAAATTTTGTGTCAAGTGTTCTGTCAAAATTTCATAAATTTTATCTACCAAATTCAGAAAAAAAACAAAAATAACTATTCCAAGTTTCATGTTGGAACACTTAATAAATATTTTTGAGGAAAAAAACAGTACATATCCAGATATTTTCCCAATACAAAAAGTGATGAATGGTTTTGTCAATACTGAAAGATCACAAGCCAAATTATAACTAGCCCGGCTCTCATCCACCAAGTTTAACCGGTTTAACAAGGAATTCACAATGGTTTTCTACATCTTTTTATTACATAAATAATAATATCAAAATAAAAATATTGCGTTTTAATTTAACAAAACATGTACACTATAAACATGATAAATCATCTTCTGACAGTATGACGGGAGAATCTCATTACCATAACCAATTACCCACCATTATCTAATTAGGAGTCCTAAAAGCATTACCATGATGCCATCTGTTGCTTGCGTGACACTTGTCCTAAATTGCATGGCTGTACATTAACCTTTGTCGTACCTTTACTTTTCTACATACAAAAACAATTAGAATCATATTGAGAATGACTGCGTATATGGCACCTTTTTGTCGATGTTGTTAATTTTAATAAACACTGCCACTTCCAACCTACTTAAAATCTCATACATCAAAACCTAGGGTCTTTGACCATATTTGATAAAGCTTAAATTTTATTATTCTCAGCTTGGCACCCATGAACATTTGAGCCGCGTCACGACAAAACCAACATAGTGCGTTTGCGACCAGCATCCGCGCAGTCTGATCAGGATCCATGCTGTTTGCTTACATAGTCTATAACAAGTAGAGAAACTGATAGCGAACAGCATGGATCCTGATCAGACTGCGCGGATGCTGGTCGCAAATCCATTATGTTAGTTTTGTCATGATGCGGCTCATTTGATTATCATGCCAGATTGACAAAATTATTACGTCAGAAGTTTGACAGTATACAATTTTTGTTCTCATTTTTTATTTTTAAAAAAAATCCACTTGCGTTTAAAGCTGCCTTCAGCTTATATTTTCTGTTGTAAAAACAATTCTGTGTTGCTTCAAACTTAGTATTTCAGTAATTTTATTTTGGAAAAAAGACATCTTATCACTCACTGTAAGCCTTCTTTAAAACAGCGTCCAGAGAGCTATTTATACCACGTCAGTGATGTTCGTTTCTAAAAATAGAAAAAGAATTAGAAAGCCCACCAGTAGATTAGAGGTATAGAGGGGTTTCCTTATTACTCAAGTATTTAATCGTCTGCACATTTCATTTTACACCATAACTCTTATGATTTGACAACTTATAATATGGAACGATTTATCTAAAAATAACATATTGAATAATTAGAAAATCTGAAGGCCACTTTAAGGAGTATTGAATTAGAGCCTCAATTTGATCAACATTTTAATCAGATCTAACTAATATCTTCGTACTCGGACAATGCATTCTCAACAACTTTGTCATATGTCTTTGCTAAATGACTATCATCACCTGTGTCTGAAGGATCTTGCTCAGTTTTCACCGAGTTATCTAAACTTGCTTTCAATGCCACACTTGACACAGTTCGCGCATTATTTAAAATTTCTGAAATATTAGGGGTTTCACTACTAACACCTGACTTATCCTCACACTTACTATTATCTCTGTCATTATTGCCCATTTGTGAACTATTAGAACATTCTACACTGCTTAAATTGGCAACAGATCCCTGCATGTTTGCTGCATTTACATTCAATAAGTTACGTTTACGTATAGTATCAAGATTCATGATAATATTGGCGGCATCAGATGTTTGCAGTGAAGGATTTTGTCCTTCAACCTTACTGTAATCATTGATATAGTTTAATTTTGGAGTAAGACCCGTATCGTCTTTAAATGACGTCACATTGTAACGGCTCTTCCAACTGTGCAGCCACCCGTTTGATCCTTTGAAATTTTTGGCTTGTAAATTCTGGGCCACTTGAAGGGCTTTCTCCTGAATCATTGGCCCTGACATTTGAACACCATTCTCCCGCGACACTTTATACCACTGCCAAACTAACTCGTTAACTTGGGCAAATTTGCTATTTGTCTTAAACCTTTTTCGTTTTGTGTTTGAGTTGAATTCGAACTGTTCCTTCAGTAATTGGCGGTTTTTAAGCATATCGCCAACAGCCGTTTTACTGATCTTGTACTTATCTGCCAGTTTCCTCTGTGACAGGCCCTCATCAGCCATTTCAAACTCCTCTATTATATGGATCTTCTCAGGTAAGGAAAGTGTTGTTCTTTCTTTTGGTGGAAACTTTCGGACTATATAAAAACAAAGAATAAATATAACTATTTTTTTCTCAAGCAAAATTGATTGGAACATATGATCATGGATTTATATGTACAGTAACAGGTTAACTCCTAAATAAATATATGAGGAGTAAACATTTACAGACATGTTGCTGCAATAAGGTGACATATTGCCAAATGATTTTCTTCTTTACTTGTTTAGCAAACAACACATGCCTTTTAAATTGGGAAGAAATTTGATTTTGAGAATGGTAATCAGAAGAGCAAAAATTAGAAACATTTACCAAGCCTGTTTAAATCATTGTGGATAAAGGAGTTTACATCCTGTTCTGTTTTTGTAGGATTTTGTACATTACAAGTACAGGTTCAAGTATATATGCTCCAAAAATGGTACAGTAATAAGAAGTAGCAGGTACTTATAATAGCAAGAAAAGTTAAACACAGAATTTTTTAGGCTTGCAAGACACAGAACAATGATTTCATTTATCCACTGTGTAAATGCATGGTGTTTTAAAAGTAGATTGATCTACCATGAGCACATTTTTTTTATAAAGTATTTCAAAACTTGAAAAAAAACAACAATAGAAATGAATTATCTGTATACTCTCAGAAAAAAAAAATGTTGAAAGAGTATTAAGTGATTTAGTATGAACATCTTTATGTTGAATAATAATATTTTGTTGTAGAACAATTTATAATCTGCTACAATTAGATATAATATCTGATCATGTATCTCACACTTAACAACAAGAGGGCTATGATGGCCCTAGATTGCTCCCCTGACCAATAAACCACATCCGCGCTATGTCATAGACAAGCATTCTGACCAAGTTTGATGAGAATTGAGTCAAAATGTTACCATTAGAGTATTAACAAGGTTTTTCCAGTTTTTGGGCAGTGTGACCTAGTTCTGACCCCAGAAGATCCATAATCAAACTTGACATAGAAATCATCAAAACAACCTTCCTGATCAATTTCCGGTATATTTGGATCAAAACTGCAGCCACTAGAGTGTAAAAAATATTTTTCTATTTTTAGCTCCTGTGACCTAGTTTTTAACCCGAGATGACCCATATTCCAAACTGACCTACAAATCATCAAAACAACCTTCCTGACTGATTTCCAGAATATTTGGATCAAAACTGCAGCCCCTAGAGTGTTAACAAGATTTTTCTATTTTTAGCTCCTGTGACCTAGTTTTTTTACCGGAGATGACCCATATTCGATCTTGACCTACAAATTATCAAAACAACCTTCCTGACTGATTTCTAGGAAAATTTGATCAAAACTGCAGCAACTAGAGTGTTAACAAGCTTTTTCTATTTTTAGCTCCTGTGACCTAGTTTTTGACCTGAGATGACCCATATTCATACTTGACCTGTATTTTGATGATGATCCAATCAAAACTGTGACTGCTAGACTGTTAACAACCCAATTGTTGACAATGCACAATGCCTGACATAGCCCCATCACTATACCTTACCTTGACCACTTCGTGGTCAGGTGAGCTAAAAACATCCACATATAATCCATAAAATGTGTTTCAAGATTTGTTGTAACTTGTTAGGTATGATACTTATTACTATTAACACAATTACTGGTGCTTAGATATTTCAGACAAATTCACTTTAAACAGAAAGATGGGCTGGCTGGGAGCATTCTTTTGCTATTAAACTTTATGTCCCAACAGTTTTGTCAGTTTTATCAAGGTAAATATTATGCCTCTATTTATGGAAAAAAATTTAAACAAAAATATATCAGTGCTCACCAAATCTTATAGGACCTATTGTCTGCCCTGCCATAACAGGAGTGGTCAGATTCAAAGACATATCAAAACTTTGTTCAGATGATGTTAACACACTCATGTCTAATGACTCACTGCCTTGAGATTGATCTTGCCACGCCAGTGAATTCTGTTCTATATTTGGTTCAATTTTTATACTCATATTCGATGTGTCTTCCATGGTGTCCGTATCAGATAAGGGTTCCATTTTGACTCTTATTGAATCATCAAATTCATTATTTATAGTTTCCTTTAAATTTTCACCTTCCTGGTTATTTTCTATTATTAATTGGATGTTCACAGATTCTGGCTGAGATTGGGACCTTCAGATAGTTTATCTTCATTTCTTGCCAATGCAGCATCTTCATTACTGTCTCTTTCTGAATTAAGTCTAACAGGCTCCCAGTTTTCAAATTCTGTTCTCGAACTATTTCCATCACCATGACATTCAAAATTTAAAAGCTTGGGCTTTTTTGACAAGTTACCTCCCTTTGCCACATTCTTTGCCTTCCTTTTAGCTGTGCTAGGTTTTCTTACTTCTCTTGCTTCACTTGCTAAACCTTAAATGTTAATATATAATATAGAAATTATTTATTTGTTTATTTGGTTTATACAGAATTTATTTTAGTTTGATTGTGTAGGAAGCTATAAGCTTATAGACACACTTTCGAATCTGTTCCTGGAACCAACCAGTACGGAGCAATGAGTGTAAAGTTTCTTGCTCAAGGAAACAATGACTTGCCCCCGACAGTCAAACCCATGCAGCTAGCGATCATAAGATAACTAGTCGGACTTGTTTACCATGTTTATTTGTATAGGTTTTACATCCATTTCAAAAGAAATTTGGTCATATCTCGACAGTCCGTCCACCTAACCTACACTCCTGGATAACTAAACAAGTGATAACCATTTTCTCTTCAAGTGAGCCACTTGTTATCCCATAGAATTTCTGAATCAGCCGTGAAAATCAAATGAGCCGTGTCACGACAAAACCAACATAGTACGTTTGCGACCAACATGAATCCAGACCAGCCTGCGCATCCGCGCAGTCTGATCAGGATCCATGCTGTTCGCTATCAGTTTCTCTACTTGTAATCGGGTTTGTAAGCGAACAGCATGGATCCTGATCAGACTGCGCGGATGCGCAGGCTGGTCTGGATCCATGCTGGTCGCAAACCCATTATGTTGGTTTTGTTGTGACGGGCTCAAATGACCATCACAATCTGAGATTTTGCCTCACCCTGGATCAAATCTGTAACCCCTGGATCATGAATCCGATGCTCTACCTATTGGTTGAGCTAATTTGAATCTGCAATCAATCATCATTAATTCATCAAACAGATATTTAAAACACACATAACAGTTTTTGTAAATCCACTGTGCTTCTTTTTTGCAAATTCTAAGATCAATTTGACTCCCAACTTTTTTCTTTGAAACAGACCAATTAAAAATAAATGATATGCCTTCTCAAAAGACTGAAGTAAATCTTTTCATGATACAGAAAGGGTAAAAAATAAAATTTAAGCAAATGTTAGCTACAAAGGGGAGATTAATCAGATACTGCTTGAAACATTGATGCTAAAGTTTATAATGAAACTTGACACATATATTGAAGATGATGATAAGGGGAACATATTTCTAGTAAATCCGTTGAGTAATAAACTATTACAGACAAGAACCCAACATATCAATGAGATGGTAAAAAGAACCTCCAATACATCAAGCTTTGTTGTACATTATAGAACTTTTCAACTTTTAAAAACTCACCACTTAAACAATATGATAGGAACTCATTTTTTATGTCCAAGTTTCTTGATTTCTGGATTTTTTCCAGAAAATGTGTAGCTCTCTTTGATGCAAGATATGAAGTTGATCTGCTACCTCTATCGGCCATTACAATAATTGACTCCTCCCCGGTCTCTGTAGCAAGTTCTTCAAGCTGTAATATACATGTAAAAACTCCCTTGAAGCGACATGCCTCAATTAAATTAAACTTGAGTAAAATGTACTAAGATTTTAAGAAAGGTAAAAAGATTTAAGATACAAGTAACAATTTACATGTTATGTGCTATAAAGGACAGTTTTTGTTGTATTCATCACCATCCGCGCAGTCTGATCAGGATCCATGCTGTTTGCTTACAAACCCTATTACAAGAAAGGAAACTGATAGCGAACAGCATGGATCCTGATCAGACTGCATGAATGCGCAGGCTGGTCTGGATCCATGCTGGTCGCAAACACACTATGTTGGTTTTGTCGTGACGTGGCTCATATAGATACTATTATTGTCACATGGAAACTTTCTAGCTTTTCTGGTGAAGGAAGACCTAAGTTGGCCCTCTGTGCATTAATTCAGAGATGGAACCCGAGTAGAACCACCAATTATTTGTAAGCTACAAGTTGCTGGATAGCTTTCTTATAATTCAAAGTCCCTGGCTGACCACAAGCTGTGAAGGGGAAATAGATTAAAGTCAATGGTCTTCTAATGGCCACGGAAGCAGTGGATTAAAAGCAGGTCTTTGAAATATTCAAGAGCAGTTACATTCTTTTGTCTAGTGATTAAGTGGAAGTGATGGCGATTAACAAGCATTCCCAATTTGAAAGTACATGGTCAATGGATTCAGACTATCAGTGAAAAAACAAGAATGTGTTTGTTAAACACAAATGCCCCCGGCTCAGATACTTGTCAGTAGCAATATTTCAAAAAATGTATTATGTTTACCCACTCACTCAGTTATGGACAGAAAAATTGCCAAAAAATTGTAAACACAAGTTATATAGCTTGACAAAGTCATGGCATTTTGTATTGTGAAAAATATAAGTTGCCAAGTCATTGCTCTGACTTGTGAAGTTGAAAAATATTCAACTTCATGCAAGTTATCTTCCTACCAAATATGAAATACATCTGTCATTAAATAAAGGCTGTATGGGCAAAAGTGTAAAAATCTATTTTGAGCACTGGTGACCTTGACCAAACTGACCCCTAACTCTATCCAAAGGAAGAATACCATACATGTAAGTTATCTTCCTACCAAATATGAAATACATCTGTCAATAAATAAAGGCTGTATGAGCAAATGTGTAAAAATCTATTTTTAGCACTGGTGACCTTGACCCATCTGACCACTAACTCCATCAAATTTTATGTTTCTATCAATTATAAATAACATCTGTCTATAGAATAAGGTTAATACACCTGTAAAAATGTAAAAATCTATTTTTAACATTGGTGACCTTGACATTGGTAACATTGACCTTGACCCAAATGACCCCTTACTACACCCAAAGAAGGAGGACCTTCCTTGGCATGTTCGTATTAAACTAAGACATCAACTAAAAAATAAAGGCTGTATGAGCAAAAATGTTTATATTTATTTTTTAAACCAGTGACCTTGATCCTAGAGACCGCTTACTCCACAAAAAATTAGAGGACCATCAAAGGTATCCACCTACTAAATATGAAAGATATCATTAAAGAAATTAAGCAATTAGGAGAAATTTAAGATAAATCCAACTTGCCGAAATAGGTTAACCAGACAAGGCACTATTTTCAAAGTGAAACAAGAGCTGTCGGTAGGACAGCAACGCTCGACTATTCTTAGTGCTTGATAGTAAAAAAAATGCCTGATACAGTTACCTCCTCCTGTTTACAGGTTGGGGTCATGATGGTGAACAAGTGTGCAAAGTTTCAAAGCCATATGTCAATGGACTTTGAAAATATTTGAACTATTACAAAAACTTTAACGTAAATTCTAAGTCGAAAAAAGGGCATTATTCTGTCAAAATGCTTGATAGAGTTACCTCCTCCTGTTTACAGGTTGGGGTCATGATGTTGAACAAGTGTGCAAAGTTTCAAAGCCATATGTCAATGGACTTTGAAAATATTTGAACTATTACAAAAACTTTAACGTAAATTTTAAGTCGAAAAAGGGGCATAATTCTGTCAAAATGCTTGATAGAGTTACGTTCTCCTGTCTACAGGTTGGGGTCATGATGGTGAACAAGTGTGCAAAGTTTCAAAGCCATATGTCAATGGACTTTGAAAATATTTGAACTATTACAAAAACTTAAACGTAAATTCTAAGTCGAAAAAGGGGCATAATTCTGTCAAAATGCGTGATAGAGTTACGTCCTTCTGTCTACAGGTTGGGGTCATGATGGTGAACAAGTGTGCAAAGTTTCAAAGCCATATGACAATGGACTTTGAAAATATTTGAACTATTACAAAAACTTTAACGTAAATTCTAAGTCGAAAAAGGGGCATAATTCTGTCAAAATGCTTGATAGAGTTACGTCCTCCTGTCTACAGGTTGGGGTCATGATGGTGAACAAGTGTGCAAAGTTTCAAAGCCATATGTCAATGGACTTTGAAAATATTTGAACTATTACAAAAACTTTAACGTAAATTCTAAGTCGAAAAAGGGGCATAATTCTGTCAAAATGCTTGATAGAGTTACCTCCTCCTGTTTACAGGTTGGGGTCATGATGGTGAACAAGTGTGCAAAGTTTCAAAGCCATATGTCAATGGACTTTGAAAATATTTGAAACTATTACAAAAACTTTAACGTAAATTTTAAGTCGAAAAAGGGGCATAATTCTGTCAAAATGCTTGATAGAGTTACGTCCTCCTGTCTACAGGTTGGGGTCATGATGGTGAACAAGTGTGCAAAGTTTCAAAGCCATATGTCAATGGACTTTGAAAATATTTGAACTATTACAAAAACTTTAACGTAAATTCTAAGTCGAAAAAGGGGCATAATTCTGTCAAAATGCTTGATAGAGTTACGTCCTCCTGTCTACAGGTTGGGGTCATGATGGTGAACAAGTGTGCAAAGTTTCAAAGCCATATGTCAATGGACTTTGAAAATATTTGAACTATTACAAAAACTTTAACATAAGTGGTTACGCCGACGCCGACGCTCGGGTGACTGCAATAGCTAGATACTTATTCTTATCGAATAGTCGAGCTAAAAAAGGGAAATAACTGGGAATATGGATGACACAGTTATATAACTTGGCAATATCATGTACTTTGTATGTGGAAATTATAAAGCCATTAGTAATAGATAGAACTTAAGATATTTCCGACTTGCCGTTTTAGGTTAACCATTATTCATTTTTTAAGTGCTGAAAAGGGCAATAACTTGGTAAATATGAAAGCCAGAGTTATGTAACTTGCCCAGATCATGAACTTTGTATTGATTAGTAAGTGTGTAAACTAAGAAGCCATTGGTACAGGTAGAACTTAAGAAAAATCCAACTTGCCGTTCTAGGTTAACCTTATACGAACAGACGGATGGACGGACTTTCAAACATTTTGGCTTTAGGGGCTATTTTCTTTGTTATTTACTTTGTTATCTTAAGGGCTACTAGCCTCTAAACCCTTTGAATGATCCTATTGTTCTCTTTTGTTCTCTTTACTGTTATATAGCCCCTACACCCAAAATGTTTGCTCGGACAGACGGACGGACAGACAGTTCAATTACTATATGCCCGGGGGCATAAAAATGTGGTGCAAAAGAATTAACCAGGATGTGACAGTTATTATAAGGAAGTAGCTGTCAGTAACCAAGTGGCTAGGATAGTACTTCCTATTCTTCTAATAACACTAGTAAGTATTCAGGACTGAAACTAGCAATACCAAGGTTATATGAAGTCAAACCTGTGCTTAAGACCACTTCTGAATAAAGATCATCCTATGAATAAAGACCATTTTTCAACAACTGTTTTCTGATTTATTAGAATAGAGTAACCCCCAAATAAAGACCACTTGTCAAGAAGGTAAAGAAAGAAAAGTATTAGATTTTGGTAGTCACAAGCCAAAATCAAGGAGTAATTAACTCCCAAACTTCCATTAACGGAAGCCCTGGGTGGCCACAGGTTTGGCAGGTTACAGCTAAACCTGTCCTTGTAAATAGAAAGTGTGTTACATAAAAATTTAAATACATATGTACTGATTTCATTTATTGTGAAAGATTAAATTGTATAATTCTCATCCTGTTTTTGACCTCAGACTATGTTACTTAAACAAACCTTACCAGAGCTCCAATCTGCTTCCTGAGACATGATTTAAGAATGGTTTTGTAGTAAGGCAACTCTCTGAGACCTGCCTCTACCCCCAACGCTGACATCTCGAAGTTGTCCTGTCAGATAAATTCAAGAACATGTATGTTAAAAAATTTCAAATACTATATTATTATAAATAAGAATACTTTGAATAAACCATAATTATATCATGGTATGTTTAACCTCAGCATACTTGAACTGAAAAAAAAGATTTAACTTTGCCACAGTTTAGAGCCAGAATGAAAGTTAGTCTTATAAATATGTTGCTTTGTGATATTTTTACTTCTTGGTAAATCAACTTGGGTTTGGCCACTGGGCCAATACAAAACTATAACTAGGGCTGTCATTATCTGAATATTGCAATATTGATATATCATCGATATTCATCATCAGACATCTGATACACTTTCAAATATCATTAAAAGCTAAAATTGATTTATTTCTGTTAGTGAATATACCTCTCTATTTTGCCTAATAAGAGAAGTCAGTTTTTTCCAGTTTTCTTGGCCAACTTTAACTTTTCAGTTTAAACTCCATTTTCAAATGTCAGTGACAAAAATAACAGAAAAAACAACTTTCTGTTAGTTTGTAGTATTTGTAATGTCTAAGCATGTCAAGCATGTATAACACAATGATCCTAATTCATAACACATGTTTATCATTGTACATTGTATCTACTGTCAAAGTCAATATATATTTTCGATATCTATCTCTCGATACAGTCAACCCTGTCCTGATCTACAGACCACTTTGGTACAGTCAATCCTGTGTACTGATCTACGGACCACCTTGTTACTGTCAACCCTGTCTTCAAGACTTGATGTTCAGACCACCTTGTTACTGTCAACCCTGTCCTTATCTTGAACTATGGACCTACTTGGTACAGTCAACCTTGTCCTGATCTATAGACCACCTTGGTACAGTTAACCCTGTACTGATCTACAGACCACCTTGGTACAGTCATTGCTGATTGATCTACAGACCACCTTGGTACAGTCAACCCTGTACTGATCTACAGACCACCTTGGTACAGTCAACCCTGTCCCCATCTACAGCACACCTTGATACAGTCAACCCTGTCCTGATTTACGGACCACCTTGGTACAATCAACCCTGTACTGATCTACAGACCAACTTAGTACAGTCAACCCTGTCCTGATCTTCAGACCATCTTGGTACAGTCAACCCTGTCCTGACCGACAGACCACCGCGGTACAGACGCCCTGTCTTGATCTTGAATACAGACCACATTGGTACAGTCACCCCTGTACTGATCTAGGGACCACCTCGGTACAGCCAACCCTGTCCTGATCTTCAGACCATCTTGGTACAGTCAACCCTGTCCTGATCTACAGACCACCTCGGTACAGTCAACCCTGTCCTGATCTTGAACTACGAATTTACTTGGTAGTCAACCCTGTCCTGATCTACAAATCACTTCGGTACAATCAACCCTCTTCTGAACTACGGACCACCTTGGTACAGTCAACCCTGTCCTGATCTACAGACCATCTTGGTACAGTCAACCCTGTCCTGATCTACAGACCACCTTGGTACAGTCAACCCTGTCCTGATCTACAGACCACCTTGGTACAGTCAGCCCTGTCCCCATCTACAGAACACCTTGGTACAGTCAACCCTGTCCTGATCTCCAGACCACCTTCATACAGTCAGCCCTGTTCTTAAATTGATTTAAGACAATGCTGACCATGGTACTCTAAATAGCCAATGAGTAAGAAAAAAAGTATCTTTAAGCTGTCAGATCTGTATAGCCTAATTCGGCATGACAATTTTTTTCATACTGTCAAACTGTTAAACATTGCCCATCAGAAATTGTCTTGATGTCTCTTAAAAATTTGAGTTTGACAAGTCTTAAATTAATAAAGTACGACTAAGATCTCTAGTGTTTCAAAATGTCTGGCATGACATTGAGTTAAAATTCCCTTGACATGAACAGACCAGAAATGATCTGATAGAACGAATGTCAGACTTTCACTCCCAAGACGTTTCACTATTGAGACGTTTCACTCCCAAGACGGTTCACTCCTAGACGTTTCACTCCCATTTTGTCAATTGTATGGACGTTTCACTCCCAATTTTTAGAGATGTTTACAAGGAAAGTTAACAAATTTTAATTTCATTAATATCAAAAGGTATAAAAAGGAAATTCAATTTAATGTTTCATTTTATTGATTTCAATGGTATTGTTAATACGAATTATGAGAAGATTACTCATTTAATTATGAGTTGAGTGATAAGAGGTGTATATGAAAGACAAATTTCTGAAATATCACTTTTATTAGAAGTGTAACATTGACATGAGAAAATTTTATTATAGTAAATTTAAAAAAAAAATAACATAGAAAGAACAACAAAGACATAAGTATCAGTTTAAATATTGAAATCACTACCAGTACAGTAAAGTAATTAATATTATTCAAATAATAAAAAAAATATCAATATATTAAATTTATTGACTATATAATGATTACTTTTTGTAAGTCTTAAACAATGAAATGTGAAATATGTGTATGAAATAAATTATTTTTTAAAATTATTTTCTTTATCAATTTATTAAACAGTAGCCATTAAACAAACTTAAGTAACTGTGGTCAACTAACAGTTTAACACCACCATTAAATCAGTTGTATAAACACTGCACTTAAGCATAACAGTTTACTAATCAATTGTTTATTGGACCATTAAAATATTTTTTGACAACAGCCAATTTAAACACAGAAACTTCTCCATAAGTTTTGTTTATATAATAATGAATTTTAGTTAAAAAAAATGATTATACATGACAAATATTGAAAAAGTCCAAATGCTTCTAATTTAATTTAAAGATATTTCTGATTTCAATGGCCATTTAAATTTTTGACATATATCCCAAAAGCACTATACTAGCATTAAATAATTTAACAATTTTTTTATCCCATTGTTAAAATTAACAAAAAAAACCCATTCAAAGTTAATTGTTGTCACAAGATTGGTATGCTTTAATAAATTAAAATTGCCTATTGAGTCCATGTTTACAAAAGATTAAATAGTTAGTTTTATTATATACTTTGAAATGAAATATTGAGAAATATTGATAAAATAAAATGCGTATTTTCATTTTCCATATTTTCACTGTAAAAATTTATTTTTCACTGCAGTGAAACATATTTTCCGTATTTTCACTGGTGTCTTGCTGGACTTTCTTTTAAATTCTGCCAGTACTCAAAATTTAAGGAAAAGTCTTGCAAATTTTAATGTCCAGAAAGAGAAAAATGTATATAATAAACAGAAAATTCAAGTTTTTTTCTATAAATACATGATTTATTTTCATCTTGTGGCATGAAAATTACCATATTTCACTCGTGGCTACAGCCACTCATGAAATATTTATTTTCATACCACTCGATGAAAATAAATCATGTATTTATAGAAAAAACTTGAATATCCTCTTATATATTAAAGTGTTATTTTAATCAAAAATATTTTTTTCTTTAAGTGAAATAATGTGATAATTGCACATATGGATTAAAGAATAGTAAAACACCTTAATTCAAAACAACAATAAAGAAGATAAGATAACTGAAGTGATAGAACTTAAAGTACTGAGTTTTAAGTCATTGACAAAAATGTGAATTCCCCCTTTTTAATTTATTTTTATTAAATTTAAGGTCTATTTTAGTTCAATTCAATATTTTAGGTCTATTTTAGTATATCATAAGTATCAAAATAATTTTGGTATAAAAAGGGAGTGAAACGTCTTCAAGACGTTTCACTCCCAAATGGGAGTGAAACGTCTTGGTGTGAACCGTCTTGGTGTGAACCGTCTTAATAGTGAAACGTCTGTCTACCTGATAGAACACAAACCCTAAAACAGCTGAAACCCGAATGTCTGTGCAAATTAGTCAAATCGGCCCCAAGTCAGATCGGCCCCAAAATTAGTCAATTCGGCCTCAAAATTAGTCAAATCGGCCACACAACAATTTCAAAAAGTCAAATCGGCCCCAAAACGAGTCAAATCGGTCCCAAAACGAGTCAAATGGGCCTCACAACTAGTCAAATCGGCCCTAAAGTTGTATGCGACTTTTCCTTATCAGTACACTTAAAATACTCGGGTTAGAAATTAGAGCTTATAACTTTTTTTAAAATCTACAGATTTTGTATTAGCAAATACCTGGACAAAGCACATATTACAAGTATTTACCGTTTTCTTTGTGCAAAAATTTCAGTTTATAATCAATTATCGGAGTTGTCTCCCTCGAAATAGTTACATTAAAATCTGGTAATCGGTACATAACCGGACTATATGGTAGACTAAAATTAACGTTTACTCCGTGCATTTCAATCCATTTCAAGTATGCCTTTTCTTGTTTATACGTATTCTTTCTATTATCATGCCACAACCATAAATTGAATTTGAATTATGACCTAAGATTTAGATTGCCTGGACAGAAGGGCCTGGACAGAAACGCACCTGTTACTGTCACAGAATTTATACAGGTACTCTCGTTGTCGAGTTAACGCGAGATTATGTTTCCAACGTAAACTAAATTGCAAGCTATAAAATTAATAACCAAAAAATATCAATGATTTAAATACTTAAAGGTAAATTATCTGGTATCAGATGAGCATATTTGTAAATTATTTTGTGTTAAATTAATGAAATTTTGGTCGGTATGTGTTGATAATGATAATGGAAGTCATGGAAAGCTATATAGCTCTGTTGATTGATAGCTATCATTGATCATGTTGATAAATGATTGTGCCATGTTTTATAGAGAATTCACAAAAATTCAGTGTATCAGTCAACTACATTTGAGTTTACACCAAACTTCAAAACTATTACACTAGACTCCAGACAGGGTGACGCTTAATTGGTGCATATAGCAATTGTCAGGGGTACAGTTTAAATGTACCAGTGAGTTAGCCTGGAACCCCGTTGTATCGTTCTATTTACCCATAAATCACAACTGCATTTAAAAAAATTCAAATCTCCCTGAATATTTATTTTGTATCATTTACTTGGAACATTTTGCTATAATATTTACATGGCAAATATCAGTGATATATACTTTTTAGCTTTGGTATATACGGTTATTTACAGACATGTCACACAGGTTGAAGAATTAGGTCACGCCATAATATCGATGTATTCTGAGAATCGTTCAGTTGGCCAGTTTGGGAAGCCTTAACCATCTTTATGTTAGCTATTTCAGTCAATAAGAAACATAGATGTCTGTTTTAAAATGTCAGTATAAATTTAGGAACTTTTAACAGACAGTAGCTATACTTTTAATAAGAACACATTATTTATAAGTCTATTTATTTTCTACAACGTCTTACGGTACTGGAAACATGTTTTGATCATTTTACTGAACAAAAACAAATGCGAAAAGTTTTCGTGACACTGTTGTAAATGTTAACAATCAGTAGGTGACGTATTTTGCAAAAAATCTAAAGATTTGTAAATAGATCAATACAATGAATAGCACAATACAATGGGGTTCCACTATATGCAAAACTGCTGTAGGAATTTAACATTTTTTTACTTTTGTGATATATCCATCATGTAAAATGAGCTTAAGCCCTTATGACATTTTTATAATAAATAAAGAAATAATGTATATGCAAACATATGATTCTAGACAGAGATATTTTCTCTGAAAAAGAATAATGGGAATTTTAACTTCATTTTGCATCAATAAACAAACCTTAGACTTAACCTGTGGTGATTGCACTCAGAGTTCCCATTATCAATATTGTATAGTATCCCTGTTTCTTGTTTTATCAGGGATTCTTGTATTATCTGGGTATGCTTAAAACTCAGATACATGTACTTAAGTTTGAATGGAATTGTTTCATGATTTAAATGAAGTTGATATTAATTAATTTCTAATTTGACTTTCTGTATGAAGGTTGAGAGTCAAACATTAGAAAGATGGATTTTCAAGGACTGCCACAAGATTTTGGCATGCCACTGCTTGATGGGGATGATTTCTTTAAGAATCTTGATACCATGGAACAAGACTTTATGATTGAGGGAGAAATTGCCGACTATGATGAGGATGGTGAACTTGATCTTGGCGGATCGGAAGGAGATGATGATGAAACATATATTGAGTAGGAACAAATTTCAAGTTTGATTTCCTTGTACATTGTGACTGTATCATATTCTTTCGATTATGGTTTGAATGGTGTAACTGCCTTTATTCTAAAATAGATATCTTTAATTCATGTCATATCAGTTATGAATAGGGGAATAAATTATTTAGGCTATTAGCTATATAAGCATGATAAGTAATGTAAAATGATAGTTCAAACAAATCAATTTTTTCAGGATACCAGGATATGTGAAAGAACATCTATTATTATATTTACAGAATGCAGTTTAGCAGACCACTGTATTAAAAACTATGATTTTATTCTCTCAATAGAGATTATCCTGGATTTAGTTGTAATTTAAGAAATTTATATGTAGAAAAGGCAGGATTATGGGAGAGAAAACCCCCAATAAGCTAGCATGCTAATATTTATGCCCCCATTTCGAAGAAAAGGGGGTATATTGCTTTGCACTTGTCGGTCAGTCGGTCCGTCGGTCCGTAGACCAAATGGTTTCCGAGTGATAACTAAAGAACCCTTAGGCCTAGGAACTTCAAACTTGGTATGGTGATTGGTCATGACCAGTAGATGACCCCTATTGATTTTGGGGTCAAGGGGTCAAAGGTCAAGGTCACATTGACCTTGTAAGCAAAAACGGTTTCCGATCAATAACTAAAGAACCTTAAGGCCTAGGAACTTCACACTTGGTATGGTGATTGGTCATGATCAGTAGATGACCCCTATTGATTTTGGGGTCAAGGGGTGAAAGGTCAAAGTCACATTGACCTTTTGGATAAAAACGGTTTCCGAGTGATAACTAAAGAACCCTTAGGCCTAGAAACTTCAAACTTGGTATGGTGATTGGTCATGACCAGTAGATGACCCCTATTGATTTTGGGGTCAAGGGGTCAAAGGTCAAGGTCACATTGACCTTGTAAGCAAAAACGGATTCCGATCAATAACTAAAGAACCTTAAGGCCTAGGAACTTCAACCTTGGTATGGTGATTGGTCATGATCAGTAGATGACCCCTATTGATTTTGGGGTCAAGGAGTCAAAGGTCAAGGTCACATTGACCTTGTAAGCAAAAACGGTTTCCGATCAATAACTAAAGAACCTTAAGGCCTAGGAACTTCAAACTTGGTATGGTGATTGGTCATGATCAGTAGATGACCCCTATTGATTTTGGGGTCAAGGGATCAAAGGTCAAGATCACATTGACCTCTTGGGTAAAAATGCTTTCTGATCAATAACTTAAAAACCCTTAGGCCTAGGAACTTCAAACTTGGTATGGTGATTGGTCATGACCAGCAGGTGATCTATTGATTTTGGGGTCAAGGGGTCAAAGGTCAAGGTCACATTGACCTTGTAGGTAAAAGCTGTTTCTGATCAATTAACTATAAACGCTTAGGCCTAGGAACTTCAAACTTTGTATGATGATTGGTCGTGACTAGCAGATGACCCCTATTGAGTTTTGGGTCAAGGGTCAAAGGTCAAGGTCACATTGACCTTGTAAGTAAAAACGGTTTCTGATCAATAACTTAAGAACGCTCAGGCCTAGGAACTTCAAACTTGGTATGGTGATTTGTCATGACCAGCAGGTTACCCCTATTGATTTTGGGATCAAGGTGTCAAAGGTCAAGGTCACATTGACCTTGTAAGTAAAAACGGTTTCTGATCAATAACTAAAGAACACTTCTGCCTAGGAACTTCAAACTTGGCATGGTGATTGGTCATGACCAGTAGATGACCCCTATTGATTTTGGGGTCAAAGGTCAAGGTCACATTGACCTTGTATGTTAAACCGGTTTCTGATCAATAATAAAAGAACCCTTAGGCTTAGGAACTTCAAACTTGGCATGGTGATTGGTCATGACCAGCAGATGACCCCTATTGATTTTGGGGTCAAGGGGTCAAAGGTCAAGGTCACATTGACCTTGTAGGTAAAATCGGTTTCTGATCAATTAACTAAAAACGCTCAGGCCTAGGAACTTCAAACTTGGTATGGTGATTTGTCATGACCAGCAGGTTACCCCTATTGATTTTGGGATCAAGGTGTCAAAGGTCAAGGTCACATTGACCTTGTAAGTAAAAACGGTTTCTGATCAATAACAAAAGAACACTTCTGCCTAGGAACTTCAAACTTGGCATGGTGATTGGTCATGACCAGTAGATGACCCCTATTGATTTTGGGGTCAAAGGTCAAGGTCACATTGACCTTGTATGTTAAACCGGTTTCTGATCAATAATAAAAGAACCCTTAGGCCTAGGAACTTCAAACTTGGCATGGTGATTGGTCATGACCAGCAGATGACCCCTATTGATTTTGGGGTCAAGGGGTCAAAGGTCAAGGTCACATTGACCTTGTAGGTAAAATCGGTTTCTGATCAATTAACTAAAAACGCTTAGGCCTAGGAACTTCAAACTTTGTATGATGATTGGTCGTGACCAGCAGATGACCCCTATTGAGTTTTGGGTCAAGGGGTCAAAGGTCAAGGTCATGACCAGTAGATACTTGATAACCCTTATTAATTGTTTGATCACTAGGTCAGAAGTCATGCATAATAACCTTATCACATGACTAATTGGCTGCTGATAGGGGGCATACATGTTTTACAAACATATCTTGTTTTTTTATCTTTCGCCTTCCAGTTTTTCTGCTAAACTAGTTCTGTTCCAACTGGTAAATATATATGATTCAAATTAAATAAATTGTTCTTTAAATCCTGTACTAATTTAAATTATGTTTCTTTGAACTATTAATATTTATGGTACATAAAAATTTAAATGACAATATTAAAATTAAATTAAAAATTTTTAGATCCCCAGATTACCCAGATACCCCAGATGAGAGATTGTCTCGGCAGGAACAATTACGTATGATGCATTTACGAAGTCATCTCAACCAGTTAACAGAAAAAGTGAAACATCACCAGTATATGACAGAAAAAACAAGGTACTTACATTGCCAGGGAAAAAAGTTGTTCTGTTTTGGGTCTACCCACCTTCATTTTAAACTTCTGACCTTAGATTTTCACTTACCTTTCCATGTTTTCAAAGATTTTCTTTTTTAAAGAAAAAAAAATCTAACTACCTGTCCTTTTTTAAGGGAGAACACCAGAAACAAAGTTACATATTTTTGGTCTGAGTACTGATATATTGTTGTAATACTAATGCAATTTTATATATATGAAAGAAAGCAAGTGTATTCCTGAAAAATTCTGCAAGTATCTTGGCCAAGAAAGCTCTGTAAGTTGAAAAGTGTGATTTTACGGCCACCCACTCAGATAATATAAAAAGATATTCAAAGATCAGACAATTCTAAAAGGTGGTAGAGGATGGGAAATATGTGCTGAATTATCATCCCTTTCCCTTAAGTTTTTATGATCGATTGTTGTTAAGAATTTGTCACCAGCTTATAGTTTTGTCAGAGAGTGAATGAAATAAAAATTTACATTTATGATATTTCACACAGAGATGAGATGAAGCAGTGTCGTAGTAAGATTTCAGAGCTAGAGGCAGAAAGGAACCAGGTCAGAGATGAAATACAACAGAAAGAATCAACCGGGAACCAGTAAAAAAATAATTTTATGTTACTATTTATAAAAATCATTACTGACAGATTTACTTTTTCCAGAATAGTTTGTTCTAATTTCTGTTTGTTTGTTTTTTTTCCTGATCACAGTCTGCACTGTCTGCTAATTAGTCTATACATATTTTAAAATTTTCTCTAAAATTGATAGATTGAAAGATTGGACAAGTCCATTGAAGATATTTAGTGTGGTTAGGATGAAAAATTGATAATGCAGACTGTCAATATATTTTTGAGAAAATTAAAAATATAAAGGTCATAAAATGCGATTGCCAACAGGCAAAACACTGTCATGCAATATTTTTGTGGATTTGAAAAATTATAATATCAATCTGCAACATAAATTAAGCACTGAATGAATCATAAAATGTTTGACGGAATATGTAGAGTTATTGCCCTTTATATAATTATAAAAGAGTTAGTTCCTCTTTTGTCATTTACATAAAGATTGAGACAAAAAAATAGAAATATTATTTTAAAAAAGTGTAGAAAAGCAGCTATACCATACACAAAAGAAACATTCAAGCCCATACATACATACATAACAAATATTCAAGCCTATACATACATAACAAATATTCAAGCCTATACATGCATACATAACAAATATTCAAGCCTATACATACATAACAAATATTCAAGCATTTATTGTTGTATTATTTTACAGATCAGCTGTTTACAGACTTAGAGCTCAGCATGACAGATTGAGTCAAGAGATCTTGGACGAGAAACAAATAGAGAAACTTATCTCTGACAGGCTAGATAAAGAAGAGTAAGTTAGTTTCAGAAATTTGGATAAAGAAGAATATAAAAATATGGCTGTTTAAAATATGTATTAAGATTGTATGTTAGAAAAATAACTGTAACTGTATTTCAACATTTAACCCATTACGTCATATACACGCCTTTTAACGCCTTTTTCACACCCCCCCCCCCTTTTTGTTGTCTCAAATGGTGAAAAAATGCCTTATTTAGGCCCCCAACACTTGTTTTTGTTTGAGAAATGTTGTTAAAAAAAGTGACCACTTTTTCGGCGCGGTCCCCCAACCAAAAAATACATCAGGGGGTTGCCAGAAGGGGGTTTGAAGGGGGCGGAGTCCCCCTCATCGCCAAGAAAATTTTGGACTTGTGCGAGGCTATAAATGACCCCAGATTGATCATAAGGTAACGTGTAACCAACGCTGAAAAGCATTTGACTCTATCTCAATCCATTGAGAAGTTGCAGCACTTTGAAATCAATTATGATGGAAAAAATCAACATATAATAGTGATTTTTGGCAATTTTGAGATGTCCCCTCGTTGCCATGATAACAGAAAATTTAAGCCTGAGCATGTTGTTGCAAGGGCAATGGTCCAGTCAACATTTGTGCCAAGTTTGATTAGTGTTGAAGCAGTTTTTATAGTATTATAGCAATTTGAACTTGTAACGGGAGACTTTTCAATGAAAACAGCCATTTTTCACAAAATGCTCATGAAGTAATGGGTTAATACAGCTATTTATTGCAGAAAATACCAAATTTTTATCAAGTAAGAATACTTTTATTTTGAATCAATTATTATCCTCCATGGCCTTTTTGTATCTTAACATTAGACATGTCTGTACATTTCCTTTCATTTGAAATGCTGAACTATTACCTTGACCTCCAAATTTCATTGGGCGCAACTGCATTATAGCAAAGTTTTATTGATAGAACCAAAAGAAAAAATCTATATTATTCTTACTATTTAGTGTTTTATTAATGCAGCGGCATAGCATTTTTTTCACAAATGCAATCTTGTTTATAATTATATTTAAAATTTTTTATTTCAGATATGAGCTTAATAAGGTTGAAGTTGAAAGAGGTAAATTCCTATTGGCCGAAGATGAGCTTGTAAAGAAAGAGGACAGATTAGCTAAAGAAAAAACAGATCTTGCTATTCGTAGACTACGGAAAGAAGAGAGAAAAGCCTTCCAGGCAGAGAAAAATATGAGAAATAAACAACGGTAAAAAGAAAAGTGTTTGATAAAATAATGAGTCATCCTTATTCTAAGTTACACCTGTCAGATATTTAACTTTGAACCTATAATTCAGGTGGCGCGCATAGATACTGCGATACTTGAACTATTTGTAAATTTTTGAAAGATGGACCTACATTAATTGACTTACTTAAATGGTAATAACTGTTGCACCATTACTTTAGAAGAACAAATGTCTGATAAAATTTATGTCAGTGATTTAACAGAATGTAATACTTATTTCAATCTGTCAAATTCATTGGTGGTGCTAGTTATATAATTTGCTCGACCCTTTTTTAAAAAAAAAAACGATAGAGATATTGTTGCAACCATAATTTATTTCATGGTTGGATAACCACGGTATCTGTTAAATGTATTAAGTGAAGTATATGTAAATGCAGAAATAAAACGAAAATTTTCTAAGTCCAAAACTTTCTTAAAAATGACTAAGTGTTTTCCAGAGTAAAACTCCTTGAAAATTGTCTAAGTGTTAACTTTCCAGAACTGTTTCATGGTTATTTCTTTGATGAAAAAGTCAAGTTCCAGAGTTCTCCATGAAAATTGTTCCAGAGTACTTTGTAAATACTGTGGAAAAAAGCTTGTTTCCATGAAAATTCATGGAAATTCATGGAAAATCAGTTATTTTCCAGAGTTTTTCCAGACAGACTGTGGAAAATCTACAGACGGGTAGCTAGGGACATGGTACGCATAGGGAGTTCTATACTAGTACATGTATATCATTGTACAGTATATTACATTGAAAGTGATATTAAGATATTCATTTGGTATGATAAATATAAGAAAAATGTATCTATAGACTTAAAACCTGAAACAGCATTTGGTATGAGGTTTAAAAGCCTAAAAACATAACATTTAATTTCTTACGTGAATCAGCTGGGTCACTTTATTCAGAAATATATGCAAAGATAGTTGAGAAATATACTTTGAAATAAATTGAAAATCGTATTTATTGTGCTTTTCTTAGCCCGATTTGAGTGAAAGGCGTTTAAACACTTTTCATTTTAGGTCATTTTTTACGATTTGAATAAATATTCTGGAAAAACGAAGTGAGCGAATGATTTGAACTTTGGCACAAAGGTTAGTGATCTAAACCTACATCAAATTGTACATTTATCTGGAAATTTATCTGAGTCCCATCATGTCAAAAAACTTCAGTGGAGTCCCTTTAACACTACATCTTTGTAACTAGTCAGTGTTTGTTTTGTAGACTCCAGCAAGAAATCATGAAGGAGAGGCAGAGACAGTCAGAATACAGAGCAAATAATGCTAAAGAAAGTCAGCAGAAACATAGAAAATTTGTTGATGATACTATGAATAAGTAAGTTTATTTTTATCAAATTTTGTGCCAGAATAGGCATAGGAATCCAGGATCTTTTTGACTATACCTCGTATTGCTATATTGAATTAGATATTTTTATTATGGTACATGTTTATCATTTCTTGTAAGACATTGCAGTATTGTTCGTTAGTAAATCTTCTCAAAGATAATATGTTTTTCTGAACATTTCAGTTGTAAATTCTTGGCTAAAACATTGCATGTGTTTGGTTTGACAACTTTTTGTTTATCTTTGTTAAAGGATGAAACAACGCCAAGAAGAGGAAAATCAGCGTTATAAGCAAAACATGCAGACAAAAATGGACATGCTACTGAAGTTAAAGAGTGATATCACTGCAAACAGGGTATACTTCACAAATTCTTTTGTATAGCTGAATTAATATCAAGGGACCGGGTGGATGCTATAGGGATATAAATTTGCCCTTGTCTGTCTGTCATGCTGATGGGCTGTCATTCTGTCCATCTGTATACAGAAAAAACGGTGTGTCCATGTGGGGGCATCCGTGTCTTTATTTCTTTTTTTTTTTTCCCATAAATCTGTTTGTCAGTTTTATTTTATTAAAATGTTAACTACAAGCCTTTCATATGCCAAGTGATGACAGATCTATAATCTATATCCCTTATTGCCATGAATTCAAATGCAGTGATGGTCTTTTGATTCTTTTATGTGTTTTTGTGGTGTAGGGTGTTTTATTTTTCCTTCGTTCTGTGAGTGTCATTAAAAGTTACCACTTTGGTAAAGTGGTCTAATTTTAACTTTTAAGAAAGGCAACATTTGGGTGTCTGAGTTAGCTAGCCAGGTAGCTTACAAAAGGTAAGTCATTCTTGTGCCTGAAATGTTGCAAAGTTGTGTACCCAAGATTTTCCTCAGCAAATTACATTGTAAAGTCCTCACATGGCTTTTACAATATCTGTGTGTTTTCAAACCCGACAAAAAAATTCTTCAGACGTACTGCAAATTTTATATTTATAAATCTTTTAAAATTTTTTTTTCCCATTTTTTTTAGGTTTAAGGAAAATTTTAAACAAAATTTGATTTATCCCATTAAAAATTTTTAACCAGGAGAACAAAAAAGCTCTCCGTGCAGGAAAAAGCTCCCAGAAGAAGAGGGGCCAGAAATTGAACAAATTCGTCAAAAAATTTTGGGGAAGGGAGGCAACCGAAAAGATTTTTTCTTATAAAAAACGTATAAGTGTTTTGAAAAAAAAAAATTTCGTAAGTTTTAATGTTTCTTTCTTATTGATACTTTTACAGTGTTCAATTTGAAAGACTAGCTTTCTGTGGAATTTTTTGAGTATTATGAAAAGTTGTATAAAATTTGGACTTAAATCAGAACGAAACAGAGGTATATTTAATATCATTTTATTACTTAAAATGAATTAAATTTTCAAATACTTTGACAAGTTTGGTTCTACTTTTTTTCTGTGGTTATTAGATGGTTATATTTGGATGTCCATTTGTGTCAAAAGTAATGATAAGAAAGGTCACAGAAAAGGCCTTCCCCCAGTAGTAATGCTGAGAACTCACAAAATGACCAGTATTGGTGTGATTGCCCAAATAGATATATTGATAAACAAAACTAGGAGCATCCATGGCTGAGTGGTTAATGTCGTTAACTTCAAACCACTTGTACTTCACCACTGTGGGGTTTTTTAAACCGAAAGGGATTTTATTTTTTTACTGTGAGGAAAACCACGCTAGCTAAAAAAGAGCGTCAGGGTTCTTCGGGGCCCGTTTGTCTAAATGGGGGGGGAAAAGGGGAATTGAAGGGCTTCCAACCCCAGTAAACTGAAAAAAAATAAAGACCCATACCTTGTTTGTGCATTTAAAACCCCAACAAAAAAATTGGTTTTGCTGGTTTGGTTGCCCCTTTTTATTGAGTTTGGTTTAAAAACAGTGACTTAAAAAACCCAAACCCAACGGGGGAAATTTTTTAAAATTTGTAAAGAATTTTTATTTTTGGGATCTGAATTTGTTTATTTTTAAATATTTTTTAAAATTTTTTTTGATTTGAATAATTTTAAAAACACATTTTTTTTTTTTTGTAAAATTGATTTTATTTGCAGAAAAAGGTAAGAATGTTTGGGAAAATTTTTTAACTTAAAATAAAATTAGTCTTATTTATAAAAAGGCACATGTGTAATTTACCTTATGCACTGACTGTATTAAATGTAAAAAATCAAATTATTCAAAAATTGTCAAGTTCAACAGGATCACATATCTTTGGCTTAATAAAATACATCTATGACAGGAATGTCATAGCATAGGCTTCTAAACCTTGTCAAAGGGGAGTGGTTCCCTAGTGGTTTTGTTGTCCACTCAACCCAGGGGTTGTGGGTTCAAGCCCTACTTAAGTTAAGACCATGCATATTCCTCATGGTAAATTAAATTCGTCATCTTAGTGCTGTAACGTGTTAACTCCAATAAATTATATCAGGAGTTAACCCGTTACTGTGCTAAGGTGACAATATGACACCAAATAAGGTACCAATTTGACACCTGGTACCTGTTAGATCTAGGAATCTTGATATAATTTAGTGGCTAGAATTTATTTCACAATCGAGGTTTTAAGAGTAAATATATGTAAACTAACCTTGTTTGTTTGTTTATGAATGTTAATTTATATCAGTGTTGTGGCATCTGGAAATTTGTGTCGATGTAGCGTAAAAACATTTAGGGAGCAACCATTGGTGTCACCGACATTATTATATGATGAACAACTCATATGGAATAGTTGAAATTTATTTTCTTATTGCATGTCACTTAATGTAATGAACAGATAATTTGTACTGTTAGGTTGTTTCATTAAATTTTATTGATGGTTATCTGATTTATCAGATGACTATGTCAACATATTGTCATCACCTTAGTGCAATAATAGGTTAACTCCCATTGAATTATATAAGGAGTTAACCTATTATTGCACTGAGGTGATGATATTTGTCTTAAAAATGGCATTTTTACCATTCACAATTCTAAAATTTCATAAATGGACAATGTCCATCTTTCAGCCAGTCAGTCAGGACAAAGTCATGCATCATTTTAAAGGAAAGGTTAAAAGTTAAAACTGCATGCATGTTCTGAATGAATATCAAACAGTGTAGACCATTTGAACTTGACCTCCAATGGGTTGCATGGGAAAAATCGGTTATGTCTAGGAAGCTAATGTATTAAGACAATAAGACTTAAGCAAATGCGACAAAATTGTAAATCTCAAAGTTGTCATTTATTAAGGTCATAGTTTCTTATCTAGTCTCCTGATTTCAGCCAATTTTAAATTAAGAAAGTAACAAATGTGAGGTGTTTTTGACACATTTCAGGAACTTTGAAAATGAACAGAAGGAAAAGCAGGCAAGTGTGATGGAAAAGATACTGATTGAGGAGGAAAGAATGCGTCGTAGAAAGCAACAGCAACCGTTACTCTGGGATGATCCTCAACGTGAAAAAACAAAGGTATGCAGGGCATAAAATTTCTCAGAAAGGGAGGTTCTTTAATTACGTACGGTTAGATATATATATTTCAGTTTTATTGCGAATGAAAGCTGAGAGCTTATGTGAGCCGTATTTTAAGGTCCTCTTCCTGAAGCTAACCAGTACTGGCACCACATGAGTGACTGGTGATGTACCCAGTAGGGCTTGAACCCATGTTTCCTTGGTTTTAAAGATATACTATGCCCATCCTTGTAAAAAAATTTAATTACAGAAATTTATTGTAATCTATGAAATTCTTACTGAATATGGCTAATTTGAATATAAAAATGAATAAACTATGTATGGGAAGCTGTGTTCCCTATTACAGGTCAAGTAAAGTTGGTCTTTAGTTAAAAAACTGCTAGTTTTCTTTTCATGACATTATACATGTACATTGTATATTCATATTGTGACCACTTATAGTGTGTAGAATATTAAACGAAACAATTATCTACCTTTTGTGAAGTCGAAACATGTTTATTTTATATTTACAAAGAGACTGTGTACCAATTATCAATATTTTTTTAATATCAAATTTGAGCATGGTATATCTTTAAAAGTAAACTCTTTAATAACTAGGTTTTATATGTGCTCTTTACAATATCATCAAAAAGAAAAGCGTCAGATTTTACGGCATTCAATGTTAAATGCAAAACATGACGAGACATATTGGAAACTTAAAGAACAATGATTATACTGCATTCAATGCTAAGTGCAAAACTGTGGACAATTTGTTATATAGGGCAAATCAAAAATCATAACTCCAACTCGTATAATCATTTTATAATTGCTTTGATGTGTTTTTAACCAGATACTTGGACCACCTAAGAAGAGGCCGCTGAAAACATTTCAAGAATACACCAAGATGAGTGTAGAAGAAGATCTTAAGTTAAATCTCAGAGATTCATTAGACGAGAATGTAACTATATTTTGATATATCTATATTTTATAACATTATTTTTCACTATTTGACTCATTATATGCGCACAGCTTTATTGATTGCCTTTAGTAAACGTGGCAAATTCGGGCCCTGCCTTCACATCCATGCAGTCTGGCAAGACTTTGTGCTGTTCTGATATAGAAATCACATCAAAATACTATGAACCATATTAAAAAACAATGGCAAGTCATGATTTTACATATGAATCAGAATAAAGGTTAAAATCATTTATCTTATATTTTGCACTTTATATCTACATTTGGCTTTTACCTGGAATATTGCAAAGATGTGCTTATTGATGTATTCAATAGATTAAGTGAAGATGTAACATGATTTGCTTCAATACTCTGACTTTGAACTATATAAAGAAAAATTTTGATTTGATAGGGTACATTTTACGGGTAGTTTGGTCATGCAAAAGTTGTATTTGTATTACTTTGGCTTAAGTTAACAATCAAATCAGTTTGCTTAATAATGAAACATGAATTTTTTGTAAACTTCATTTTCTTTTGTCAGACTGATTTTTCTATAAATAGTCATTCTATTTTTAGACTATTCTATTTTTAGATATTTCTATTCTATTTTTAGAATATTCATTTTATTTTTAGATTTTTGAGAAACTGGATGATGAGAAATTAGATACAGCAGATACTGACATGCATGAAAAGATTGTTCCACAAAGGGAAGTCGAGAGCAGTGACTCCAGTGATGATGAAGATATTGGCGAGAATGCCGTGGACCTGGCAAAACCGGAGTTTGAGGGATTATGGGACCATCATAAACCTTATAAAGTACCAAAAGATACAGAGTCATCTCCCCTGAAAACTCTTGGTGCCTCAAAAATGGACAAGGTATTACAATAGAATTACATTGGATTTTACAATTTTTTCAAATAAAGAATGGACTTCTTTCTATATATGGTTCTGATGTATTCCTTACAGTCTACCCCTGTTTAGTGACAAACCTTTATTTGAATACCTTGCATTATCTTTAGTAGATTGCCAGTCCTGCTTTTATCTCTATATATGTTAATATATATAGAGCATATCCTTTCAAATGCATTTTCCAAATATCGCCTATTTTTGTATCGAAGCTTTTTCGCTAAAATGTCAAAGTTGAGTTGTTGATGTCTATCACTATATTCGGACTTGGATTATTGAAACCCATTAATTTTTATTCAAAGTAAATTTTCAGTCCCTGGCAATTTGAATTATCAAAGTTACCTTGTTTGTTTTGAAGAAAAAGTTGAGCTACTGTGATTGTTACAGTGCCCTCATTGTTTCCTTGTCATTGTCATTGTGCAAAAGCTTTAATGTAGCTCATTATTCAAATACACAAAATTTGGAATACTAACTTATCAGGACAAAGTGCAGTTGTAAGACAAGGGGCTTTATTCTGAAAACTATATGTTATGCCTCTTTTTATCTAGATTTTTTTTGGTCAAAATTGCTTTATCAAGTAAAATGATTCCAAATTATGAAAGATATCAACATGAAATTTGGAATACTTGATTTTCATGACAATGCAAAGTTGTAAGATGAGCAGCATAATAGTTAAAGTAATATTAAAAGGAGTGTATGTTGGAATATTAATAACAATTGGTTATTGATGCTCATAACCCATAACAGAGGAGGTTTTTTTTATTATTATTTTCATCTTAAGCATCTTTTAATCATATTTTTACAAGTCCCACCTTGATGTTGACACTATTCTCTTTGTTATTGCTTTTTGGACTTCCTTTCTTTTCAAATAATATTCTTGTTTACAAAGATCATCAATTCAGGGCTTCCACTAGGAATTTTTTTTAGGAAGTCAGGACTTCCTTTCAAGGAATTTTGGAAGTCATGAGGTAAATTTCTGGAAGTCAGTTGTTCTTACGCGTATAATTTTCATGTTTCAATGTTTGATTTATAGTATGGGATGATACAAGTAAAAGCAATTATTTTAATCACAAGATTCTGAAAATGTCATTCCTTTAAATGTTTTATTATACATATTTAAAAAGTTCAAAGTATCTTTACATGATTGTTGGGTAAATATTTTCAATAGAAGTAAGAACATTACCCTGAAAAGGACTGTATTGTTGTTATTTAAGGACAGTGGTAACCGTGTAGAACCCTTCAGTGATAACATTCAAATAATTGCTCATTGGTATAACAGAAAAAATAATATTTCCAGAAAACTTTTAATTCTTTAATCAATCATGGTACAAGTAGATTCTGAAATGTGTATGATGGGTTCTTCTTTTTCTACCTCTGGATCAGTACCATACAGCTGTGATCAGCCTGCACAGCATTTTTGTGGTCATTGGATTCATTGTGTTTTAAAAGGGTGGATCTCTGTAGATTTCCTGAAATAAAAAAAAAACATGACATCCTTTAGCATTGTTATATTTCTTTTTTGTAAAATAAAAATTGTTGTTTAAATATCTCTTGTGTTTAAAATTATTTACTACAGTACCGAACACAATTTCAGTGTATCAAATGAATCATAACACATTAACAACATAAAATGGTTAAATTTAATCAGGCTTATAAATTGAAAGTTTTATAAAAGTAATTTCGAACACCGTTCTTGACCAAATTAATTTTTTAATTACGTTTTTGAGATACGCCAAATTGCAGAAGTGAGCATTGAGACATTTTGAGAGTGGGTAGGGAAAAAGATTTTTAAATGTTTACTTTGCTTCTCATAATAATTTCGTATTCGTATTCGTAATTAGCGAGTGAAAAAAAAATCAAATCAAATCAACATCGATAGAATGTGTGAAAATAAAACGTCTTTAACTTTAAAAAGGAAAAAAAATCAAAAGACAAAAACACGCTTCGCCGACTCGGCAAACTTTCGGATCCATACATTCAAAACTTACCGATGCACACAAATTATAAAGAATAAATCATTTTATCTAATTAAAGTAATTAAAAACAGATACCTACCACAGTTTACGTCAATTAACTATCCATTATCCGTACAAAACAAACAATTAATCCAATCACTTTGTTTTCACGCTTATCAAGGTCATAAATCAACACTCGCTAATTCGTCACGCGCCAGGTGCATTCGCATAATTTCCCCCATCGCTGTCATGTCAACCATTCAATTCAGGGGGCGGAGTTAAATAAATAATCCAATCGTACGCCAGGAAAGTGAGAAAATGTCGGAAAATGGTCGTGGCGTACGTCACGGCTTACGATTTTCGCCGTATTCCTAAATTTTTGGAAGTCAGCGGTACGTCATTGATCTTAATTTTCGGCGTACAGATACGATTTTCGGGCGTAATTTACGGCCGTACGCCCGTTAACGGAAGCCCTGCAATTATCAACATAGGGGTGTTAATGTTATGAACCAACCTAGAGCAAAATATTGAAAAACATTAATGAGCCGGTCATGACAAAACCAACATAATGGGTTTGCGACCAGCATGGATCCAGACCAGCTTGCGCATCCGCGCAGTCTGATCAGGATCCATGCTGTTCGCTATCAGTTTCTCTACTTGTTATAGAGTTTGTAAGCGAACAGCATGGATCCTGATCTGACTGCGCTAAAGCGCAGTCTGGTCTCGACCCATGCTGGTCACAAACCCATTATGTTGGTTTTTTTACACTTGAATTAGATTAACTCAACTAAGGTCCAAATACCTAAAAATATATCAAGTGAATTTCTTACATACATCATCTGGGGCACTTAAAACAGAAATATATGCAAAAAATGTTTAAGAAATATACTAATAAATACATTGTTAATTGACAAAATTTCTATTTTTGTGTTATTCTTAGCCAGATTTGTCTGAAAAGCATTGCAACGTTTTTTAATTTTTGCTCATTTTTCACAAAGAGAATAATTATTCTCGCAAAAGGAAGTGAGCTACTTATCTGAAATTTTTCACACAAGTGATTGATCTAGACCTTGATCAAATGGAACATTTTAATCTCTAAATATTATTTTTTGTCCTGTCATGTCAAAAATTATCAGTGGAGTCTATTTAATGTAAAAAAATTGTTACTGGACACAAGGGTTTTCTGCCCATATTGTTTGCTGTTACAATGTTGAATCTTGATTTGTTTTGATAAAAAAAATTGTTACACTGTTTTTTTCAGGCAATTTTAAATCAAGTTTTGGAGAAGCACCGCGCGGGTATTGTAGTGAAGCAGGTTGCTGCAGGGAGAGAGTTTTCGGGGTGTCCGTTCTATAGTAAACCTGACGTTATCCATTTCAAGGTATATTTATAGTTGTTACAGCTACTTATTGAGACCTTTTTTCTCTTCATCTTAATATGTCAATCCTTTATCTCTAATACACCTCACACCTCCCCTGTCCCCTATCCCCCCCCCCCCCCCCCAAAAAAAAAAAAAAAATTTTTTGTAGATATAAAATGATCAATTTTCTTTCCGTTGAATGAAGAGTGCTAAAGAATTAAGAAAAAAGAGATCTGAGGAACTATAAATTAATAGAGATAGACAATCCTCTTAAATCATTTATTGAGAGGATGATTGTCTTTTGAAGCACATTTCAATATTTGGTTCCTTATGTTTTATTATTCTATTGCGTTGTAAACAAGTTCTAATGAACAAAAATTTGGTTAATACGGCATTCCGCACTATTTGCTACACCATTTTAGTGGTCAAATTTATCATAATCACCCAATGATCATCAAGAACAAAATTACTATCCTCATTTACCTTTTTTGTCCCCCCCCTTTGACCCTCTTAAATTGTGACTCTGTGACAATTTAATTTCAGTTTTGCTGTAACCTTAAGCCACCCCTTCCCCTCCTACTTTTTTTACAAAGAAAAAGATTCACCAAGACAATAGTGGTTTATTATAAATTCAAGGAAGTTAACACAAATGTTAACACATCATCTCAATAATGAGGAGGGAAATAACTCAGAAACAATCATCCTTTGTATTTTTACAGTATTAAAATTTTTGTAGTTAAATTAATGCCCCCCCCCACCCCCTTGGAAAATGTTATGCCCAGTGACATTTTTTAGATAATAAATGATAGGAATTTTGAACCTTGCCATAGACCCATAACTATAATTTCTGTATCCAGATATGAAAGTTACATGTATTACGCAAATGAAATGAAAATATCATAATTTGAATTATTTAATGCTGGTAGTTTTTCTCTTTTTTTTCAGGATTTTGACGTTGGTAAATCATACAAGAAGAAAGTTACGCTCACCAACGTGTCTTATACGGTGAACTACTGTAAATACATAGACATAACTGAACGTCTCAAAGATTTCATTAACATCCAGTAAGTATAATCACAGGAAAAAATTGTTGTTTACATTATGTGACTCAGAATTTCTTGCTATCTTTTGTTGATAATTTTATGTAGGCATTGAAAGGCTAAAAGTCAACCTCAAATACAAGAATATATTGCTTGCTTTTAATTGCCTTATATTCAGAGGAATTTAAAGATGAACAAATTAAGAACAAGTGGCACCCATGGCTGAGTGGTTAAGGTTGTTGACTTCAAACCACTTTCCTCACACTGCTGTGGGTTCAAATCCCAACAGGGACATTGGATTATTTCATGTGTGTTAGCTACCAGCTAGCTTACAGAACATCAGTAGTTCTACTCAGGTGCCTTTTTGTGCCTGAAATAATTCACGGAAAGGGAACCTGAGGTCTTCCTCCATCAGTAAAGCTTGAAGGTTGCCATATGACCTATACTGTGTAGATGCAACGTAAAATCCAACAACGAAAAACACCAACAAGTTTAGAATGATAAATTTTATGGAGTTGAGAGCAGGTCCCAGTCAATAGAGAAGTTCGTAATTTAGGGAAAAGGCTTGTAAATTGAACCTCAATGACCAAGTGGTTATGGTAGCTGACATCTTGTCTCTCACCCCTCACTGCTGTAGGTATGAATTCAGATAAGGACTTTAGATTCTTTCTAACCAAAGGTTGATGGTTCTACTCAGCTGCATACTCTTGCTTGAAATGATGCATATATGGGCTGGCACCATGAAGTCTTACTCGACCATTTTAGCTTGAAAATTGCCATATGGCCAGAACAGCTTGTTTGTTTGTATTTTTGTGTTTTTCTTTTATGCCAAAATTAACATACTTTTGGTTCATATCTTGGCTGTCAATCTAGCTAACCAACTTTGCTTAAACAATCCAGTTATTATCAATTTTATCACAAGCAAATGACTACTTATTTCACATGAATCAGTGGTGAGAGACAAATGAGCCGCGTCATGACAAAACCAACATAATGGGTTTGCGACCAGCATGGATCCAGACCAGCCTGCACATCCGCGCGGTCTGATTAGGATCCATGCTGTTTGCTATCAGTTTCTCTACTTGTTATAGGGTTTGTAAGCGAACAGCATGGATCCTGATCAGACTGCGCGGATGCGCAGGCTGGTCTGAATCCATGCTGGTTGCAAACCCATTATATTGGTTTTGTCATGACACAGCTCAAATTTTGTTCAGTGTCAAACAATTTTGTGTCTGCTCTCTAAATCCTTTACCCCTTTGAAGGATACTTTCAAACTTTGCTCAAATGCCCACAGCAATTGTAATTGTGTCCTGTCTATAACTTTATATACTCCTTGAAGGATTTTCTTCAAATTTGGCTCAAATGTTCACTTCAAATTGGTAATGTGCAGAACTCGTGCTACATGGCTTAAGGTCAAGGTCATCCTTGAATTTGAGTCCGGTGTCAGACATTTTGTGTGTGCACTGTTAAAACTGTTCTAAACTTTTTAAGGGTTATTCTTAAAACTACACTCAAATGTTCACTTTTAGAAATGATGATAATTTAGCTACATGAACATAGTAATACTGTGTCATATAGATGGTGGGGGTACTTTAGCCATTCCTGTGACAATTGTAGTTATTATAATAAAACATAGTGTATGGAAATGTTTAAAATACAAAAAAGTGTCCATATTATTTTTAAAGAACTGTTATGATTGAAAATTGTGTCTTATGGGCCGGAACAAGTAAACATTCTTTAAGTTGTACAAGATGACTCAGATATTTATGAAAAATGTGGAATAATAAAACACCGGAATATATTAAGTTGTTGATATGGAGGTGCTAGTGTGACTAAGATGTGATAAAAAGAATAATCATCAAAAGATAAAACAACAGTTTTTTGACATTTAGACGCTGCTGTTGCATTATATGTGTTTATTTGAAATTATGTACATAGCTGTATTATTGCCTTATTCCTAGTATTTTTTTTGTTTGTTTAATGCTAGCAATTTTTTTGAGGTTTGAACAAGATTTGAGGTTGATAATTTTGTATATTTCCATTAATGTATTTTCTTATAGGCCATGTGGGCCGTGGCCTTAACTTTTTTCCAAGAAAGTGAGAAAAAAATATCCATAAAAGTATCCATCTGCTTGCAGTTTCTAATTAAGCCCTGAACATATTTATTGTTCTAAATATAAAATGTATGTAAATCTTTTCGCACATTAGTTTGGCTAAGGGTTTTGAATATTTTATGTGCTAAACCCAAAGCTGTAGGAGGCTACTGCCAAATTCATAAAGGGCAGATGGACCCTTATTAAACTTAGGACACTAACTTAGGACACACAATCCTTCCTAAAATAAAGCTGGGAGGTTATTTTACCACCTTAACTGTGCTGACGTGACTTAAAATCAAACAGGAAACAATGGTGAGAGTAACAATGACTGTGCACATTTACATTCTTTACTTTAGTTAAACAAAACTGACAATGAAGACATCCTGTTATTGAAAATTTTTATTTTTGAATGGACTTTACTGAGGATTTTTTACATGACGGGTACTGGCAATATTTTTACCGAGATTTGTTTAACATTTGATAAATGTCTAGATCAATAACATTATATGTGAACTGAAGGATCATTCTCTCACTGTGTATTTTAAGAATATAATCCTTTAAGTTGTGCAAAATGACTCAAAAATGAAAAGTGTTTAAACACTTTTAAGTCAAATCTGAAGCTAACAGAATCCCCCCCCTCCCCCTGTCCTTCTCGTCCTCAAGCATTATATCTTATCAAACACTCAAGACATATTTGCTTCTAACTTCTCATACCTTCACACACTTTAAAACTGGAAGTCACTGTCCAAGGCCTATAGCACTTTCATAGATTTTGACAGAAGATTTGCAAAACTACTGAAGTTAATTTACTATGATTTTAATACATGTTTTTGTGACCATAACTGTAGATCACTATTAAAGGCAGGGTTCCCACGCTGTCCGGGAAAACGGGAAATGTCCGTGAATTTGAAAACAGGAGCTCCCGGCCTTGAAAAGTCCGGGAATTAGTGTTGATACATAAAAAAGTCCGGGAAGGTACGGGAATTAGTCTGGTAAAGGGGAGGTAAATCAAACAACCAAAATGGCGGTCTTAGCACAGTATATTGACTTCTGCATCTTGAATGTTGATGATTTTTCGATTTACAAGTGTTTTGGGAGGCCAAGTTTGACATTTATGAGATTTAACATTTATTTTCTGGTTACTATGGCGGTTTTGTTTGGAAAATGTTATAAGACAGTCACAAATCGACCACAAGTTTGCTTGATTGGCCCGTGCTAAGAAACATGAAAGCTCACAGGTCTGGTTGTTTCCTTGGGCAATTTGTTTAACCTTATTGCTCACAACCATGCTAAAAGCCAAAGGTAAATCAATATAAAATAAACAATAGTATTACATACATGAACTATTGTCAAGGCAGAGCACAGCCAGTTGGCCACACCATATTTGCAAGTACATTTGTCTATTCATTAATGAACCTAACAGTTAGAAAAGCAAATGTCACTTTTTTTCTTACAACATCTGAACTGCCAATTTCAACGGAATGAATGAAAGTAATAGTTGGCTAAGTCACATTATTTTGAAATTATCAATTCATTTTCTCATTAAAATCTATATTGTATACAAATCAAAATGAATATTGCTATAATTGTGTGTGTTTGGGTATTTTGTGCTGCTTCCATATTTTGTAGAACCCGTAGCACTGGCTTAAGCAGAGTACAACATTTAAACATGAAAGTTGTGAAATTTTTAATGTAGAAACACCTGCAGGCAGTTTTCATATACCCTTCAGTGTGACATGCTTTTGCCATTCTATGCACCTAAGTGGACTGAGGTCAAATGTGAGGTTACTTATTAAGTACTATGAATATCTTGTAAAAAAGTGATCCCTTGGAAGCATTAAAAACACCAAAATTACATGAAAATTGCAGACAACCTGCAACAGTTGCTGTCACAAAGTAAATTTCATTACTTATAGACACTGAATGTATTTCTTAGATAGAGTTAGATTTATGTCATGAACTACATGTATTATATTGTTATTAAATGTTGTTTTAAACATTACCATGAAAATATTCATAAGACAAAAAAATCGAATAGCTTGAAATTCAATCTTCTAAAAAGTCCTTAAAAAATCAAAAAAGGTCCTTGATAAGTCCTGGAAAAGTCCTTAAATTTTCAAAATATCTAAGAGTGGGAACCCTGTAAAGGCCAATAAACTACATTGATATATATTAGGGACATATAAGATTGACCCTTGTTTATTTTGCCCACTTCCCCATTCATAATGTTGGTCCGTAAATTGAGAAAACAGTGAAAGGTGGGGGAATCACTGCACAATCGGGGCACTTTTTAGTTAACATTAATGTTTTTCCTTTTTTTTAGTTTTGATCCACCTGGACAGATGTCTGCTGGTCTTACATGTGAAATGTTGGTTTCATTTAAACCGATGGTGAGTAAGCTATTATTTTTTATAAATTTTGTACCTGAAAACATAATTACAAGTAAAATGTAACATATGAACATCTCTGAAAATCAAATTCAAGGCCCAAGCTAAGCCAAGAAAAATGGAGAAAATTCTCTTTCTAGCAAAATAGGGAAAAAAATCACAAGTCAGGAAAAGATTGGTTTTTAATTGTAATGATTTTCTTAATTGGGAATCATTATTGCATTAAATTTTGAATAATGATTATTGATATCATGATTTTCGCTGACAGCCCTAAAAAAACTAATTTTGTCCAAAATTCTACAATGTTACACTGGCAGATAAAAAGACAGATTCATTATTTATTATCATTCTGTTCAAAATCTTTTTTTCAGATTTTTATTCAAAATCTTTTCTTCAGCTTTTTAGTAAAAAAAATCTTTTCTTCAGATAAATGAGGACCTAGAAGGTGAAGTGAAGTTTCTCTCACAGACTGGGCCATTTTCCATTCCGCTGAAATGCACAACAAAAAAATGTGATGTAAGTTGTTTGGGTTTTTTAACATTTAAAGTACGATTATTATGACAAGGGTTCCAGTTTGCAGCACAAAGCTTGATTTCATGAATTTGTGACTGTCATGGTGACACTGAGATTAAGTGTAAACATATTTTATTCCTTTCCTTTTTAGCTCGACTTTTCTATGAAAAGGGGAGCTATCCTACTCGCCCCGGCGTCGGCGTTGGCGTCACACCTTGGTTAAGTTTTTCGTACCACCCCACTTTATTTCAGAAGTATTACAAGTATGGCTTTGAAACTTACCATACTTGTTCACCATCATAACCTCCATCTACAGACAAGAGTACATAACTCTGTCAAGGTTTTTGACAGAATTATGGCCCTTTTTTGACTTAGAAAGTGTATTGAGCTTGGTTAAGTTTTTTGTACCACCTCACTTTATTTCAAAACCATTGGAGGTATTGCTTTGAAACTGACCATACTTGTTTACCATCACGACCTTCATCAACAGACAAGAGGACATAACTCTGTCAAGGTTTTTGACAGAATTATGCCCCTTTTTGACTTAGAAAATACATTGAATATGGGTAAAATCCACTTATTGCCTTAACCCTTTGAGATATTGCTTTGAAACTTTTAATGCTATTTCACATCATTACCCCCATCTGTACGCAAGAGAAGGTAACTCTGTCAAGGATTTGTTTTAAAAATTAAGGCCTTTTATCGACTTAGAATTAAATTTATTTAAGGCTCAACTCAGTTTTTTTTTCTTTCTTACCAGCCCTCTTTTGACTTAAACATTTCAAACTTTGCTGCAGTGTTCAAGGGTATCACACAATTCAGTAAAATAATTCTTCACTAAATATCTTAATGCTCATGGCCATTGTTCACTTTAAAAATACAGAGATTCTTGTATTGCCTTTTACTGCAAAAACTTTTTTTATTGGCAAGCAATAAAAAAGTAGAGCGCGCTGTCTTACGGACAGCTCTTGTTTTACAAGATGTACACTGCAAATATATAGAAAAAAAGATAAAAATATTTTTTTGGGACCACAAGTTCATATAACATAAGTAATTTGGTCTGTCTTTATCAGAGATATGACCAAATCATGTTTTAGAATTGATTTTGAAAAAAAACAAAACACATGGAAAACAAGCAACCACAATTAAATAAACGGACAATTTTCCCTCCAGGAAAGAATATAATTAGGTGCCATTTAATATGCTGTGGTAACATTTCCGCACTCTTTCCTGGTGATTAAATGGAAAACAAAAACAAGTTCCATCCCAATTTAGTACACTCCTGAAGTAAACATTTTGGCTCTTTGAAAATTATATAAGCTTTATTTTGATTCACATTGCATTCAGAATAGAAATTGTAGTAAAATCTTAAAATGGCATTGAGTATCATTGAATATATCTTTTTGAAATATGGCAATTCCCACAAAGCTTTGATATGGTAAAACATTTGCTGTGCCCTAGATGGGAGCCAAAATGGTGATGGTATTGTTGTACGATATAATTTTTATGCCCCGGAAGGGAAACATAATATAATTGCACCGTCTGTCTGTCTCTGTCCCTCCGTCTGTCCCACTTCATTCATGTCCAGACTGTTACTTTGTCATACATTGAGGGATTTTAAAATAACTTTGCACAAATGTTTACCACATCAAGACGATGTGTCACGTTCAAGAACCTTATCCCTACCTCAAAGGTCAAGGTCACACTATCATTTTGAAGTTTCACATTATCACAATTAGAGTAAATAGGTACACACATTCATGTCTGGACTGTAACTTTGTCATGCATCGAATGATTTTAAAATAACTAGGCATAAATGTCTACCACATCAAGACAGTGTGTTGTCTTCAAGAATTACATCCCTACCTCAAAGGTCAAGGTCACACTAACATTTTGAAGTTTCACATTATCACAATTAGAATTAATAGGTACACACATTCATGTCAGGACTGTAACTTTGTCATGCATGGAAGGATTTAAAAATAACTTGGCATAAATATTTACAACATCAAGACGATGTGTCACATCTAATAATCATGTCCCTACCTCAAAGGTCAAGGTCACACTACCCTTTTGAAGTTCACTTTATCACAGTTAGAGTTTAAAGGTACACACATTTGTGTCCGGGCTGTATGTAATGCATCGAAGGATTTTAAAATATCTAGGCATAAATATCTTCCACATCAAGACGACATGTCGCGACAAAGACCCATGTCCCTACCTTCAAGGTCAAAGTCACATTTTTAGTTTGAAGGTACTCATTCTCTTGAGAAGAGTTTGAAGATACACATTCATGTCAGGACTGTAACTTTGTCATACATGGAAGGATTTTAAAATAACTTGGCACAAATGTCTACCACATCAAGGCAATGTGTCGCGGCTAGGCTCATGTCCGTTTGTCCCCACTTACACAACAATCATGTCCAGACTGTAATTTTGTCATGCATTGAGGGATTTTGAAATAATTTGGCAAAAATGTCTATCTCATTACAACATTTTGTTGGGTCTAGGAACCATGTCCCTTTTTCAAAGATCAAGGTCACACTTATATTTTGAAGGTTCATGCTATCACAATTAGAGACTACAGGTACAATAATAAAAAGAACAATATTCAGCAATTAGTTACTTTCATTCTCTTTTCTTTTCATATACCTGCATGCTTAAGAAACATTTTCGGGGGCATTCGTCAGTTGGGTGACAGCTCTTATTTGTCTATGCTGTATATTCATAACCATTATTGATGAAATCTGGTGGTAATATAAAACCTTCTTATACAGTGGCTGTCATGAAGCTTAGTTGTGTATTATACTGACTGCCCATCTTGTGCAATTTTGTTTATGACTATTTGTAACAATTTCTCTAAAATTTTGATGAAGGAATAAAAAGAGGAAAATAAATAACAAGTAATTTGATGAGAGCAGCAAAAAATTTCATTCACTGAAGTACATGAATATCTCTTTTGTCCTTTTAAAACAGTCATTTCTAGAAGTTACCTGTCAAAACACATTATTTTGGTGTAAATTTGTGATAAATTAAAAAAAAGAATACTTTACACGTCAAAAAACATTCTTCTGGTATTAATATGTTATAAAATTGCAAAAGTGAGAATATTGGCCTTTATATTCAGGTTTTTCTTTAAAAGTGGTCTTTAAATGAGGGTAAGGTTTAGAACAGTGTTGAATGTATTATTTATTATTACAGTTGTCAGTTGACATGGATACCATACAGTTTGGTACAACAGTCATAGATGAAACGCTCAAGAGAACATTCACCCTGACAAACAAAGGAGCCCTCGGCACAACTTTTGAGTTCTTTAAACTCACAGGTAATGTCAGTTAACATACTTTCTACCTGTTGTTATGATATAGATTACACATAGGGTTGTGAGTATCAGTAAAGAAATCATTCCAAATAATATAATGTTACCGAGGCAAATTATCCGAAGGTCACAGTATTTTTGCTAGAATTAACGTTACAAAAAATAGTGACAGTACAAGGATGACAACCTCTCTCGATATAAAGATATATATTCACAAAAGTCACTCATACTTATATTAAAGGAATTATCCTTCTTTCTTATTTTTGTAAGTTGCCACATTAAACACTCTTATGTTATCTAATTTTTTAAAACATTGTATTTTTCTGGTCATGTGAGATTGTTTTCTCGTTTTGGAAACTTTTTTGATTTGAAGATTTTATACTTCCCTGATGCTAGTACCATGTGTCACAAGAAATGCATATTTTTCATCCTCATTCATGTAATGACTCTGTCTAATTTTGTTACGCCCTCACTTAGGATGGGATATAAATTTGCCCTTTTATCTCCTTTGCCCTTTCATGCTGTCCATCCATATATTGACAAAACAGTGGAATTTTGGGCCGGGGGGTGGGGGGAGGGTGAAGTTGGTGTCAGTTTCCTATAGAAACATTTCTAGTATTCATCTTTTAAAATTGAATTGGTCTATAATAGCAGGTCTGTGATACAACAAATAATTACATGGATAGTATTTTTTATCACACATAAGAACAAAAGAACAAACCTCGAAAGAATTATGCATGAACATGGATGTTGTTGGCCAGTGTTATCATTGATAAAAATATTCTTACTAAATCCCTTAGAACTTCATTAACATTTTTATTTCAAACAATATTTTATAAGAATATCCAATTGATACATTTCTGCAGTTTTTATCAATATTTGAAATACTAATGGAAAATCTGCCCGTTGTAAACCAATTCACTTGAAATCACAATGTTTTGTTAGATTTCTATACTACATTTATAACAGGAAAAATATTTTTTTTTTTTGAAGGAATGAAAGCAAAGACAGCTACAAGTGCCCAAACCTCTCTTGGAAGAATGGTAATAAAGATCTTACACTATCATCTATAATACTGCACGTTTGTAACGTCACTTTTCATTGGATATAATCGTGATGTTTATATAGATATAATTATACACGGCTGCTGTTAATTTATGAAGAAATCTCATCTCACTTTTTTTTCTCTTAAAAAGATTCTTGCTGTATTTTAAATTTGTTTGTAAATATTTCTGACAAGTTATAACTAATATAATAATACTGTAAGTTTGGACTGTCCCATTTACTATAAGCAGGGATAGTCAGTAAATTATTGCTCTTCAATGTAAAATTCATTCATTATAATAATTGATACCTTAATTGTTCAGTTGACATGACCATAAAAGTATACAAATTAATTTACATGTAGGTATCTGACTATATATCCATGTCACTTCCATGCAGTCTGATCATGCCGTCTGCATTGTTTGCTATTTAGTCAATACTTTTTTTGAAAATTTCCCCTGAATTGATGAATGGTTTTGCCCAGATTGAAGAATGGATAAGTCCATTTCAGATACAAAGTATTTAGCATGTTAAGGGTTAATTGGAATAGGTTTATAACTTGATGCATGCGATATATTTACAGACAACAGGTAATGAGTCTACACAGCCGTTGAGTCCCGAACCCACTGAGGTTGATAAATCGAAGAAAGAGACTACAATAGAGAAAAAAACTGACGGTATTTTATACACTTTAATAGATAAGTTGTTACAGTTAAACATCTGCCAGCTTTCAGCTTTTCTACTAGACCCATGTTTTATATTGTCCTTGCTTTTTAATCATATCAATATTACTTTGAATATCTGCTACAATTGTGAAAGATATTTTGTCACTATATTCGAGTACATCTTTTACAGGTTTTTTCAACAGAGTAATTGTAAAGATACTTTGTTCATTAGTAAAACAATAACCTTTAGCATAAAAGTTTTAATGTCTGGCAATGAAAATTTGAAAATGTAATTTTGTTTCATTTTAATTTCTTATGTTGCCTTCATGGCCAGGTGACCAAGTTTGTTGTCTACAATCACTTAACACTCACAACTGTTGTTTTGAATTCTGTCACAGACTTTGTACTTTTTCATATGTAGAAGCTTTTCTTCTGGCTTGCAGAAGATCTTTCATTCTTTTTGAGTGCTGGCTCTTTACTTAAATTGAAATATTTCACAGAGGGGGCTTATAAGGTTCCCTTCTAAAGTTAAAGCATTAAAATTACCATATGACTTTAGCGTTTGTGTGAATTGATTAAATCTTGACAAAAAAATAAAGATATGACTGAATCAATGATTATAGAATTTTCATGTAATTTTTTTTAGCTGAAACATCGAAAGGTGGTGAAGAAAGTCAGGTTGTGACCTCTGAAGGTCAGGAGGGTACCCAAGAAGGTCAAACTGAAGGTCAAGCTGAAGAAGGTACATTTACATGTATATGGATATATTATATCCTTTGGCTTGAAATTTAGTTTTATGAATATCTTTTATCAATATAAAAGTAGGGGATTGGTATTACTTGGCTGTTTTTTTCATTAAACATGTTAAAGAAAATTATATCCTTTGCTTTTATATTGAAACATTTGCGTGTGTAGTATGAATATTAAAGTAATTAAATTATCAGCTTTTAAAATTGGCTGTGAGTAGGTAGTACAGCAAATGATGACATTGCAAAATTCATGTTCTTTACTGTTATTCAGCAAATATTTGAGACAAATTGCTCACATAAAATTAGGTTATTAGGTCAACTCATTGAATCTTGGTCACTAGGTCAATTCATCGAATCTCTTGACACATGAATGTCACATTAAGTCATCATTTCTCACATTAAATTATGTCACTATGTCAATTCATCGAATCTCATGATATATGAATGTCACATTATTCATACAGGTGAAGCCGAGGAAAATGCCTCACCAGACCTTGCTGTCAGTGAAATGGACGACTATGGTTCCCTGGATGGAATGAAAGCCGGGCCCATTTCTGCAGGGGAAATTGGACCATTTGCGTCTACAAAACTTGAAATTATTTGGAACCCCTCTCTCCCAGGAAAAGTTGACTCTGAGTTTCTTATCACCTTCAATGATCCGTTGTCAGAAAGTGTAAGTACCTGTTACATTATATATTATTCAGTATCAAATGCAGGGTGTCCATTAATATCTGTTACCATTTTAATTGTTTATTGTACAAATTTGTTTAATCAGTACTTATATGAAAGTTGCATTTCAGGAAAGGTAAAATAATAAAGTTTTAAGTAGTGAACGTAATTACTGAAAAAATATTGTGTACGCTTAGAATAGCATGTTTGTTTGTAAAAGATGGGTTCCACATGACGTCCATTTTGTTTAAGAACAACATCACAGCGTGTTTTGAAATTGTACAATCCACTGTATTTTTCAATGTAGAAGTAACAAATAGAATTCCAATGTATAATTCGGTTTAGAAGAAATGAAAAGAATTCTATTGTATTATTCAATATAGATTAGTTACAATTAGAATTCCAATGTATTTTTCGTTGTAGAAGTAACAAAAGAATTCCATTGTATTATTCAATATAGAAGTAAAGATTAGAATTCCAATGTGTTTTTCAATGTAGAAGAAACAAAAGTATTCCATTGTATTATTTAATTTAGAACAAAATACAGTGATTGTATAATTTGTATAATTTTAATGAAAAATAGAAACACATGGTTTGCAATAAATGAATTAAATAACACTGTTTTATTCAATGAAGAACTTTGATATCATTTTGTATAATTCAATACAGAATAAAAATAAAACACTTGTATAATTCTATCAAGTAATGAAAACTGCTATAAATTTTCAGATACCTGTTCGAGCTCTAGGAAATGCTATAGATGTGCCTGTATGGGTGGAAAGACAGACTGTGGACCTGAAAATATGTTTGTTTGACAGATTGTATCAGGATACCATTCTAGTGAAAAACAGGTACATGTCTTAAATAACCTGGAATCAATGGATTCTGAATTCTGATTTTGAATAAAACGAGTGTATGTTTTGTGATTGATATTGTTACTAATGGCGGCATGACCAAGTGGTTAACGCTTCGGACTAGTAATCTTATGATCGCTAGCCGCATGGGTTCAAACCCTGACAGGGGCAAGTTGTTGTTTCCTTCAGCAAAAAACTTTACACTCATTGCTCTGTACTGGTTGGTTCCAGGAACGGATTCTAAAGTGTGTATATAAGCTAATAGCTTCCTACACAATCAAACTAAAATAAATTCTGTATAAACCAATAAAACGAGTGTTTCCTACTTACATGACTTATATCGTATGTCCTTCAAAGTTTCATTGAGGTCATAAAGCCTAAAAACAATCAGATATGTAATTTTCTAGAAGAAAGTTTTAAGGTTTATTCAATGATGATAACTAACGTTCCGACTCTCACAACCCCCTCCGTGGTCAAGGGGTTAGAGTCGATGACTTCTAATCCAGATACCTCTCTGGCGTGGGTTCGATCCCCAGGAGATGCCTTGGTAGTTTAGCACGGAGGAAGGTAGTCTTACTGTCTAGTTCTGGTGTAACTCTCCAGGAACGATGGTTAGGAAACTACCCCCCTATATGACTGAAATACTGTTGGGAAAAGGTGTAAAATGAAACAAACAAACAAACAAAAGACTCTCACAAGTCTTCATCAGGGTTTGTTTTAATTTATACAAAGGGCTACAACATCATTGTGTCTGAAGTTTGAAGTTTGTGAAGAGCTTAGAAATCATTCTGTCCTTCAAAGTTTCAATGAGGTCAAAAAGCCTAAAAACTATCAAATTTGTAATTTCTATATAGATAAGTGAAGCACTTAGAATAGAAAATCTGCAAAGGATCACAAAGAAGTATACATAAAATTAAATTGGAAATCTTAAGTTAGTGCATAGTGTTATAGTCTGATTTGAGTGAAAAGCTTTGCAATACTTTTATGTTTGGATTAATTTGGACAAGATAGATACTTTTTATTCCACCAATATTGAAGAGCAAATGATTATTTAGTAGAATAGGGTGAGAAAATGACATGAAAGTTTGCACACAAGTTATTGGTTCCAATCTACATCAAAAATGGTACACAAATTTAAAAAAAGTATTTTCAGTCCCGTCCTGTCAAAAAGAAAAAAAAACTCAATGGAGTACCTTAAAAACATGTTTCTATACAATTGGATTTATTTGTACATATAGAGTTTAATAAACTAATTCATTTACAGTTTCAACTGTTTACACATATACTGTGAATTCGCTTAATTTCGTGGGCATGAGATTTTGAGATTTTGTTGAAAAAGGAAATTTTTGTGGGTTCTTAAAGTCTTGATTCTTAAATTCTTGAATTGTCTGTTTTTGCAATAAAATAAATTGAAATAATGTAATGAAATAAAATAATCTTACAGTAGAGGAAATAAAATTTGGTTACTTACATCTTTAATTTACCTAGCCACAAAAACCACAAAAAATACGTGCCCCACAAATAAGTATGATTTTGCATTATGATTTGACTGTACATTTATTTTACTTTGCTTGTATAATTTTGTACACAGGGCTACAACAGCACTGCGCCTGAAGTTCGAAGTTTGCAAAGAGCTAAGAAATCATCTTGAGCTTTTACCAAAGACAGGGTATATCCAGGCACAGTCACAGTTCTCTGCACAACTTAAATTCTTACCCAGGTAATGTATAAGGTTCATTAATCTAAGGATTGCTGGCCTCAAGAGTTTAAAACCCTGTAAGGGGGCAATTAAGTTGTTGTTTCCGTGATCAAGAAAATTTACACTCATTAATTAGTTATGGTTAGTTCCAGGAAGGATGCGGGAGTGTTTCAGTAAGCTTATAGCTTCCGACACAATTGAACTAAAATAAATTCATATAAAACTAAACTAAAATGTTCATTCAGGAAAACAACAAGGTCAATAATTTTTGCATGTACCAATGCAGGGGAGATTTATCAATTAGATAAAGAATTACAGGATTGTAAGTGGTAATGTCTCAAATTACATGTTTTTAAGACTTCTCTCGATTGTTATTGAATTTGAGTTGTGGTTAATAAGCCTAAGAAAGGATTGCCAAAATTGATACAAAAACAAGTCTGAATTTTTTAGATATGATTTTTTTTTTCGTTTTGTAGACGAATTATAATGCTGTTGAATGTTTGCAAAAGAATTGTCCTGCTTTAATAATATGTGCCATGTTCAATGTGATCTGTGTCCTGTCCTAAATAATCTTTACCTGGTCCTATATCATTGTCTGGTCCTATTTTATTTGTTGTTTTTTTTTTCTCCTATATAATTTGTATACAGTCCTATGAGATCTTTGTCTACATATGAGCCGTCACGACAAAACCAACATAGTGCGTTTGCGACCAGCATGGATCCAGACCAGCCTGCGCATCCGCGCAGTCTGATCATGTCCATGCTGTTCGCTTACCAACACTATTATAAGTAGAGAAACGAAAGTAGATAACAAACAGCATGGATCCTGATCAGACTGCGCAGATGCAGCTCATATATATACATTGTACATGTATGTTTGTTTTTTTTTTGTAATTTCAGGCAAAGTCTATTTGAAGAAGGGGGCAAATATTTTGACAAGGAAACAGGAGTGTTGGAAGCGCCTATGACAATCAGAGTAGCTGATCAGGTGAAGAATATTATGCATTATTTGTGTCACAGAAAATAAAAAAAATTACTTCCCCTTGTGGCTGAGGGGTTACCTTTGAGGGTTGAGGCTTCAGAATTGCAGCCACCTTTTGTCCCTGTCTGATTGTGAGTGGAGACTTAATGGGTTTGAATTACTGAAGTCTATGCATCTCTTAGCTCTAGAAGGTGAGGTGGTTTTGACTGCAGGTGTAACTGTTGCTTTAAGTTTTGTAACACCCAAGCCAAAATCATCTTTTCTGTTCTGGTACTATATGACAAATTGTGTTTGTGTTCCATAAAACAAAACAAAACATTTCACCTAGAAATAAATGTATACATTGTTTACTCATCTGTAGGGAGCATTTTGTATCTGTCACGTGTATTTTATAGAAATTAATATTAAGGATTACTGTGAAATCACTAATTTCAATGGCATGGAATTCATGATTTTGTAAAAAAGGACATTTTAATGGGTTTTTAAATTTGTATATTGTCTGCTTTTGCAAAGAATACAATGCAAATATTGTATTGCAAAAATAATCTAACAGCAGACAAAATAAAATTTTGTTGGATTTTAAACTTGTGGATTGATTTTTCCAATAAAAATCACAAAAATTTATAAATAATGATTTTTTTAGTGTTAAATTTCACAATGGTTTGATGTTTTCATACAAATAAAATATAGCCAGGTAACTTTCTTTGGGTAAGTAATCTTTCAAAGTGCATGTTTTGCAGGGAAAAATAATGCAACAAAAGGGTACCGAATGTCCAGATTTGTCAATAAAAAATAGAAAGTTTAAGTCTGAACAATATTCATGTCACATGTGGCAAAACTTTCCAATTATTTTTAGTTTAAACATATTTTATAGCATCAAGTGCATGTTAGATATCGTACAATTGATGAGAGTTTATAACAAGAAGCAAATGGGTTGGGCAACATAAGATTAAGCCCTTCCAATTATTAAATGCCTGTACATGTATATATAAACATTATGTATTGCAGACTGCTCCAGTGCCGTTTACAGTGACTGCTGTGGTTACAAACTCGGACATGGTGTTCGATACAACAGATATTAACTTTGGAGACTGTACGATCTACGAATCTACAAAAACTACAATCAAGCTTACTAATAAATCAATTTTACCACAGGAGTTTGGTTTTGTTGGTCATCCTGAGGTATACCTACATTGTTTCTTTTCATGTTTCTAAAAAAATTTAATTTGAATGGTGGTAGTGTTGGTAGTTTACCCTTAGGATCATGAGAGTTAGCCACTTTGAATTCACCAGAGCCCAGTTCAGCCACTGCATTGTTCCTTGGCACGATGTCACACACTTTACCAGTACTAGTTGCCTTCACTTTCACAAGGAACTAACAACTTCTTTACAAGCCAAAGCATAGGTATAGTAGGAATGACTGTTGATAGGATTTCATGATCAATCATAATGAAAATTACATGCACTGTCTGGGAATCAAACACGGGTCACCTGATTTATAGTCCAACGTTCTTTCTTATACGCTAGCAAGGTGGTATTTAAATTGAATTTATAGTTGCCATGTGTTTCATTTCTCCCTCATATCGTTTACATGTCAAACTTATTACCTCAATAGGGATTCATTTGCTGATTTGGAAATCATTTTGAATAAGTAGCCGATTAATTTTGGAGAAATTGGTAATAGCTGGTTATAACTTTATTCATTATTTCAGTATGTAGAGGTACAGCCAAATGACGGGTTCGGAACATTGTTGCCACTAGAAACGATAGAGCTAGAAGTTATTTTTAGCCCGAAAAAGGCCAGAGACTACAAGTTTGAACTTAACTGCAAGTCTCTGATAAATAGGTTTGTATGATTTGTATATTCTCTTCTTAGAGTGGCAGAATTCAAAATTTGCTACCTGCACTTGGTCTGCTTGCTTGGATGGACCACATAAATCTTGTCCATATTTTTGATCTACTTTCCTTTAGAATTATTTTTATATGTGGCTATGTTAGTGATACCAATCCTTGTTTGTTAACATAGAATTGTTATGTACAATGTCCTAGCACTGTTACATAAAAACTTATAATTGCTATCTGTTTTTGTTATTATTTCAGAGATTCAAATTAGAATAATTATATGTGTTAACATAACAAGGAAGCCATTTAATGAATGTTAATAAAATCACTATTCCGACAGAAGTTGTTTTTTAAACTGACTTACGGAAGTACAGACTTTCCTACTTATTGCCAAAAAATTCAAAATGATTACAATGTGAAGGTGTTAATGCGTTCACAGGTGGGTTGTTTTTTGAAATGACTGTTTACTTTATGTGAATGTGCCTAAATGAATGTTTTTTTATTCTTTTTGCAGAGAATTTAAAATTCAGTGTAAAGGCGTTGGCGTTCTCCCACCATTGGATCTTTCACACCAAGTGATCCATTTTGCCGCCACGTCTCTTTACGATGTGTCTACAGCCGGACTTCATGTGATCAACTCTCACACCAGCATGAACGAGTTTACACACCCTGTTCCTAGAATTGGAAAAGGTTTTGATCCTACTTCTTTGTAACTTTTTCTTCAATATTTCAGTAATTGATCCTCTCCTCAAAGTGACAGTAAAAGTGATTGAATAATCCTTCAGAGTTTTTAAATTTCCAAGCTTAAGCAACAGTGTTCTTTTGTGTCTGAAAGAATACATATAATACATGTAAGATTATCTCTGAAGGCCATTTTTATTTTTTTGTATGTAGATTTTTTATCAGTTTGTATAAATTATATATTATTTTATCTTTTTTCAAAAATTTTTAGGAGAAATTGCACCTGTTGGTCCGACTTCATTTGAATTTGTGGTACCAGAAGGTGCACCTGTTACAATATCGCCATCTGTTGGGACTATCCAGCCAGGGGAGGTAATAATTATCATCAATATTTATAGTCCTTATTTATAGTATAATAATAATGATGTAAGCTATATAGGAGATCTGATAAGTTTGATTTGTTGGTTATGGGTCTCATAATAAAAATTAAAGTATTGTGAGGGTGTAAAAGTGAGATTGGAGGGAATAGGGGGCATATTTTCAGGTGACAATATCAATTAAGTTAAATTAATACATGTATCTTTAAAATTTCTGTATCACAGTGGTTAAGATTTTTTCATGCAAGTTGGTATACGGGGAATAGGTTGAAACTTCATACATTTATTTGAGAGCATAATTGGAGCGCTGAGAAAAGTCAAAAACACTGTCCTTCTGACAGCTCTTGTTAGTTGTATGTTTTCAAACTTCCACACTATTAAGAATTCTACTACAGTCCTAAAGAATACCATATCATAATCATGCTAGTTATATGTCACAGCTTGAGTCTAATATTTCTATCTATTGAAACAGAAAACCAGAGTACAGATACGTTTTGCACCGACATTGAATGAAGATGAAATACGTACTGAGGCTGTTAGAATGGCCACGCGGCAGATGGAGCTGCAGGCAGATAAAGAGTATAAAGAGGCATTAAAACGGCAAAAAGAAGCGGAGGAAGCCCAGGTAAATGTTATAAAAAAAGATTGTGCTAAAAAAATAGTTCCTTTTTTAATACTTCCACTAAGGAGGGGGGCGTATAGATTTGGTATTGACCACTATGCTTAAAAGCTTTTCCTCTGTAGACTTGTAAAGCAGTCAAATATTTGGGCATCTGTGTTTCCAATGGACACATATTTAGTTGGAATGAAGGTCTTAAGCAAAAAGTTAATTCCCAGTTATAGATTAGAAAAAAAACAGTATCCCAAAAAGTGCCCAAAAAGACAAAATTGAAAATGTTGCTGGCTCAGTTTGATTGAGCCTGTTCATGTTCTGTTTTTCCCCCTTTTAGAGTAGAAAATAGTTCCTTTTGAAAAAAAAAATCCCATCCAATTAGGTAAAAAAATAGATCCTTGTCAAAAAAGTAGTTCTAACTGTTCTTAACAGTAAACTTAACTAGGGTATAGAATTTTTGTATGAGCTATTAATTGAAAAAAATAGGTAAGACATCTTAATATATTTACATTACAACCTTACCTGAGCAACACCCTATGCGAAGCAAGATTTCATTTTTAGCTCGACTATACGAAGTATATGGAGAGCTGTCCTACTCGCCCCGGCGTCGGCGTCCGCGTCCAGATTTTAGATTAAAGTTTTGGTGCAGTAAAATATTTTTCACTATAACTTTGTCATTTCTTAAGGTATCAACTTCAAACTTCAAATATATGTTCCTTATCATCAACCACATCTTATGTGACAAGGTTCATAACTCTAGCACCAATATTTTCAGATTTATCTCCCCTTGAACTTAGAATTTTTCTTAAAAGATACTATTTTTTACTGATACTTCTTTATTTCTAAAGGGATCAACCTCATACTTCAAATATATGTACCTTATCATCATCCCCATCTTATGTGACAAGGGTCATAACTCTAGCACCAATATTTTCAGATTTATCTCCCCTTGAACTTAGAATTTTCCTCAAAAAATACTATTTCTTACTGTTTCTTCTTTATTTCTTAAGGGATCAACCTCATACTTCAAATATATTTACATTATCATCATCCCCATCTTATGTGACAATGTTCATAACTCTAGCACCAATATTTTTAGATTTATCTCCCTTTGAACTTAGAATTTTCCATACAAAATATTATTTTTTACTGTAACTTATTTATTTCTAAAGGGATCAACTTCATACTTCAAATATATTTACGTTATCATCATCCACATCTTATGTGACAAGGTTCATAACTCTAGCACCAATATCGCAAGAATTATCTCCCCATAAACTTAGATTTATTTACTAGAAAAATGTTATTTTTTATTTTAACTTTTTTATTTTTAAAGGTATCTACCTCAAACTTCAAATACTTATTCCTTATAATCATTTACATTTTATGTGACAATGTTCATAACTCTTGAAGCAATATTTACAGATTTATCTCCCTTTGAACTTAGGATTTTCTTTAAGAAATATAATAACTTCTTTATTTTTTAAGATATATACTTCAGACTTCAAATATATATTTCTTATCATTACACAAATGTTGTGTGGCAAGGTCCATAACTCTTGCATGACTATTTCTAGAATTATTCCCCTTGCTCTTGGAATTTATGTTAACAAATGTTATATTTTTACTATAACTTAATACTTAATTATACGTAATTGATTTTTCTTTCATAGTTTTGTCCTCCTTACTGCGTCAAGCATTTTATTAGTCGAGCTTCGCTGTCTCCTGTGACAGCTCTTGTATTACTTAACATAATATCTCAACGGCTAGAACTGTTTAATGTTGCCACTATCCATGGCATACAGTGATAACAAATGGCAACATAGTGCCCGTCTGCTGTTTCGCCTTAGTAGTCTTACTCTAATGCTTTCCCGCCAATAAATTTCTAACATCGGCCAATATCGTAATTAATCGGTCATTTCCGGAATGTAATTTTTCATAATCTTTGGTATTCAATAATTTTTAACAGTTTGTAATCGGAATTTAGTACAAAGCGATAAATGATGAGTGATTGTAAATAATCTTATGCCCAAGATTTTGAATAAAAACAAATCTTCCGGAAATAGTGATTTGCTACGATATCAGAATTTTTTGGCTGGGAAGCATCAAAGTAAGACTACCTTAAACACAATTAGGCAATTGATCGGACAAATACAAAGTGTACAAAACCGATTGTCAAGACAATGTTGCCAACCTTACATGTATCATGATCCAGTCTTTCCTTTTGTTTACTACATTATTACCACTCTGTAGTAACACCTCATAGTAACAAGTACCATTTTTGCATCCGAAAGGGTGAACTCACAGAGTTTGTACTGTATATTTCTTTTATATATCTGTATTACATGATTTAAGATAAAAATAGATTTATTTTTGCATTTTATAAATTATACAGCCGTCAGAGTCAAATAGTGATGTAAGTTTATTAGAATGTTTGTGTAGAGCGATCTACGCACTACTGTTGTTCATTACTCATCAAAGTATATGTAATAATAGCCTTGTATAGAACACTGAACGAAATGTAGACCCTTGTTGTGCTAAATTTGACGTGCCTTTGCTTTGAAATTTGAACGGACTATTGTCAAAGTGAAGGGTTTCAATATCAAAATGCTTAAATAAATCTGTAGACAGTATAGATACTAGAGCCGTCATTGATACAAATGATATTGATGTATTGTTGATATTTTTCTGGTAAATAATAATCATATCTTACTTAGATTGTTTAAACATGTACAAAAGCGATTTAGACAATAAATGAGCTGTGTCATGACAAAACCAACATAATGGATTTGCGACCAGCATGGATCCAGACCAGCCTGCGCATCCGCGCAGTCTGATCAGGATCCATGCTGTTCGCTTACAAACCATATAACAAGTAGAGAAACTGATAGCGAACAGCATGGATCCTGATCAGACTGCGCGGATGCGCAGGCTGGTCTGGAGCCATGCTGGTCGCAAACCCATTATGTTAGTTTTGTCGTGACGCGGCTCAAATAGACTAGTCATTATAGATTATAATATAGAGATATCAGTGTATCTTCCATATTTGTCGTCCGATATCAATATATCGTCAATATGCTTTGCACTAAATCAATGACAGCTCTAATAGAGTCTTGTCCGACTTCACGGAAATGTATGAAGGCTGGCAGGTACTATACTCTGCAGGTGGCAAATGCAAGTCATGTACATCTCTAGCATTGGAAGGGTTGATTTTATTGTATTTAATTAAATGTCTGGATGTTGATAACTGTCACATAATCTTCGGTGTTGGGATGAGTTTTATATCGGAAGATATTGTGTAGAAAATATTGTGTAAAAGTATATGTCAAAAAAGAATGATAATGACATTGTAGATGTCAGATAGATTAGTCCTGTACTTTGTTGTCAAATTTTTTTAACAAGGGGACGGCATAAACTATAGAAATGTATATAATTATTCATGTTAAACAGTCATTGAAATCCACACTTAAGCCTGGACTGTTGAGTAAAACACTGGTAAATTCAGGTCAGGGCTTGTGAAAATTTCACAATTTATATATTTGGGCTAGTAACCTCCCAGATATGATCAAAACGAGAAATTTCAGTCTTTATACACTTCAGAATAAAAATTCAGGCTTGTGAATTGAGAGACGGGTTTCAATGACTGCATGTACATTACATAAATAACTGTGATTTCTGTGGAATATAATTATGTTGTGTTACCATAGTGATATAAAGATAGAACATTATGTTAAGTAACTATACAAGCCTTCGTGTAAACATAACTGTTAAAAATGAAATAAAAATAAGCTATGATCGCATTTAACTCAATCTTATACTAAACCGGATTTTTCAACAGAAAAACCTGGTTATAAGATTGGCAGGTGTTGCAACCCATGTCAGGTGTACATAATTTCTTTTGTGAAGTAACCCCTTTATTTTTAGAGAAATTTCTGACATCCAAATTGTCAGAGAACTGTTCGCATTAAAATGCTCTGACAAAAATTAAATGAAATAAAAATTTCTGTAACAAAATATACAGCTGAACTCAGCTACACACCCCCTACCCATCCCACCCCGTTATTGTGAAGAGGCGCAGGTTGGTCAGATTTTAGAAAGACAAAGAGAGATTTTTGCTTGAAATTGTGAATTTGAAGGATTATTTTCCTTTTAATTGTTAAAGAGGAATCGTGACATTTTGACATGTACACATGAAACTTGTAAATAAGAAAAGCAATTTTCTCTTATTTAATGAAAAATCTAATGTTTCAATATGAAATGTTAAAAAAAAGCCACCGCTAGTGCCATATCAAAAAAATTGACATATTCTATATTAAGAGGTGACATTTCTTACAAGTCGTGAAATGTTAAGAAAAAAAACAACACACCTCTGATGCCATATCAAATAAATCAAGATATATTATATTAAGACTGATTTTTAGCTCGACTTTTCTATGAAAAGGGGAGCTATCCTACTCGCCCCGGCGTCGGCGTTGGCGTCACACCTTGGTTAAGTTTTTCGTACCACCCCACTTTATTTCAGAAGTATTACAAGTATGGCTTTGAAACTTACCATACTTGTTCACCATCATAACCTCCATCTACAGACAAGAGTACATAACTCTGTCAAGGTTTTTGACAGAATTATGGCCCTTTTTTGACTTAGAAAGTGTATTGAGCTTGGTTAAGTTTTTTGTACCACCTCACTTTATTTCAAAACCATTGGAGGTATTGCTTTGAAACTGACCATACTTGTTTACCATCACGACCTTCATCAACAGACAAGAGGACATAACTCTGTCAAGGTTTTTGACAGAATTATGCCCCTTTTTGACTTAGAAAATACATTGAATATGGGTAAAATCCACTTATTGCCTTAACCCTTTGAGATATTGCTTTGAAACTTTTAATGCTATTTCACATCATTACCCCCATCTGTACGCAAGAGAAGGTAACTCTGTCAAGGATTTGTTTTAAAAATTAAGGCCTTTTATCGACTTAGAATCTTGGTTAAGTTTTTAGTACCAGTCCACTTTTTGACTGAACTGTTTGAGATATTAATTTGAAAGTTGGAATACTTGTTTACAATCATGATTCCCAAACATGTCCAGGAGAAGGTAATTCTGTCAAAGATTTTATTTGAATTATGGCCCTTAACTGTCAATGTTTTGTATTATAGGCAAGCACTAAAAAACTTAAAAAATCTAAAAAAATTCATTCCTATCCACTGAACCTGCAGTGTTCAAGGGTATCACACAATTCAGTAAAATAATTCTTCACTAAATATCTTAATGCTCATGGCCATTGTTCACTTTAAAAATACAGAGATTCTTGTATTGCCTTTTACTGCAAAAACTTTTTTTATTGGCAAGCAATAAAAAAGTCGAGCGCGCTGTCTTACGGACAGCTCTTGTTCTTAGCCTATTTAGCAATGACTAGAAGTGTCATGCACAATAGTTTATTATTGAGACTGTTAGTTTAAGGTCTCCACTATAATTTTTATAATGATACAAAAAAAACAACAACCCCAAAGCATTTTGCCCAATACAAACAATCTAAAAATAGCTGTTTACCCATTTAAGGTCCTTTACTTCATTTTTTATCTTATGCATAAGGGGAGGAAATCAAAAGAAGAAGAAAAACAACAGGAAATATCATACTTGTATTGATTTAGATAGTGCCTTCCGCTATTGATAGTGTCTTTAAATCTGCTAATTTTGATAATTTGTTATTTAATGTGGAAAGGATCGCTTCAATTTTCATGTTAATGCCCGCGTAGGCTTGGTGTTTATTTGAGCTGGGGTTGTGCTAATGATAAGAATATTTAGTTGGATAGTTATTGTCAACAATATGACTGTGTTTATGAACAAAGAGGAAGTGTTAAGAAGGAAAGAAAAAGTCAATAAGTTTTTGAGATATATGCTAATTGTGTATATTTAATTTAAAGAAATGGGTGTCTGCTAACATTTACATCCTGTTAAATCTTAAAGCTTTTTACCTCAATAATTTTTCTCTTTATTTATTTATTTATTAAGACTGATTCAAGCAAGGTAAATTAAAAAAGTTCTAAATTATAAAAACTTTGCATCTGAAGACTAGATTAAAAACTTCAATATTTGATTGGCTGGTTTTGAAATTTTAAATTTTAAAATTGACCAATCAGAGCATATGTTTTTCTTACTAGTTGTCAAACTTAGTTTTTGTAATGTAAAACTTGAATGAGAAGTTTGTATGAAGTAAATAATGGAGCACTGATTTATTTGGTTGTTTTTTTTTTTTCACTTTCCACGTAATTTACACTATAAAAGATACTCCACTGAGATTTTTTTTTTTGACATGACGGGATTTGAAACAGTTGTTTTCGAGATTTATTTATGATTTGATGAAGGTCTGGATGGATAACACTGGTAGTCTGCAAATTTTCAGATCATACACTTTCTTCATTTCATAATTATTTCATACGAATACTCATTTTATTATGCTGAAGGACACACAAAATTTTTTATGAAGTGAATTATAATGCATATAACTTGAATCGGGTCAAGAGTCATGCTTAAAAAATCAATGTTCAGTTTTATATTCTTTGATATATATTTCTTTATTATCATTTGCATATTATCCGGCTTTAAATTTCAAAGTTGATATGACCGGTAAGAATTTTAGATTTTATGTTTTAACGTTAAAGTTTCACCTCAGTGGAGTTCCTTTTACAGATCATTTTATAATGTAAAATGTGAGAGTGTGAAATTTAATCGTTACAGAAAACACAAATACACCCACATGCACAGTTTTCATCTGTATATTATAATATTTTAGACACCAAAATTTAGAGTGAGAGGAAAATACCAGGTAAACTTTTTTTTTCAATAGAAAAATGGGAGAAAATTACATTATAGAAATTTTTTGTCAGTGGCTGGATTCTATATGAATTAGACTCTTTTTTTTTTTTAATTAGTGATATATATTGTGCTGGGATAATTGGTATCAAAATATAAGCCGCGTCATGACATAACCAACATAGTGCATTTGCGACCAGCATGGATCCAGACCAGCCTGCGCATCCGCACAGTCTGATCAGGATCCATGCTGTTCGCTTACCAACTCTATTACAAGTAGAGAAACTGATAGCGAACAGCATGGATCCTGATCAGACTGCGTGGATGCGCAGGCTGGTCTGGATCCATGCTGGGCGCAAACGAACTATGTTGGTTTTGTCGTGATGTGGCTCATATATCGTAGTGTTTGGTATTGCAAAGTAATATATCACGAAATCGCAGTGTCTTGTGATGATTATTTTGAAAATTTAAAAATGTTGAAATTTCACTATGTTTTAATTCATTATGAGGCTTTTACCGATATTGACAGGGTATTATTATAGAGACTGAGTAATTTTGTTTCTGTTAACCTTGAAAAAGTTTTGGTAATCATGCAATTACGCAGTCATTTAGGGAAAATATTGAGGATATACGTAGGAGTCGTTAATATTAATAACCGTTATTCATTTACGTCTTTAGTTTGGTTCAGACCTCCACATGTTAATGGAAAAATGTTTATCGCCTGAAAAAGAGGCAATATTTTGAGAAGGAAAATGCAATATCCTGTAAATAATTGACTTGTTGTTTTTTACTGTTAATAGATTTTTATGTATTGCTTTTTACTGTTAATAGATTTTTAAGTATTATTTTTCATTGCTTTTAGTTTTCTTGAGATATATCATTTTCATCTATCAAGATCATAAACAACTACCATAATCAATATTTTTGAAAAATTTCCCATGTGGCAGAGTCTCAGGTTGCCTTTACTGGTTGAGGCATCAGAATTGCAGCCACAATAAAACCCTGCGTGATCTTGTAAGGCGACTGAATGGGTTTGAATAACTGGAGTCTATGCATCTCTTAGCTCCAGCAGGTTAGGTGGTTTTGAATTTAACCCCCAGTGTTGCTTTAACTTTAGTTAAAATGTAAACACCCGAGGGAAGCCAAAATCATCTTTCCAGGTACAGTGCCATTATGACCTAAACTGTGTTGTAGTGCCTTTCTAAAACTGGAAACAAAACAAAACAAACTGGTTGTGGTTTTCTAGCTCATTTTATCAAAGAAATCATGGGGCTACCCTTAGTCTACTATTCCTGCCTTGGTTTTGGGTAGTTAATTAGTTAAGTTTTTTTTAAATCTTTTTTAGAGGAATCCTGTTGAAACTTATCACATCTTTGAAACTGGTCTTGCTTGTAAGTCATTCACTCAACGGTTCAAGTATAGAATTTTAATGAGCAACTCCACACCCGTCTTTGGAGTTGGTCATAACTTAAAGTTCTTTCTCAAGACTCATAACTCATGTACTGAATTTTAAAGGCATCTTTTTACTTGTCTCCTGTATCATTAAATTGTTGGTCATTGTTCAAGGACTATAACTCTAAGTAGGGATTTTTACTCAGAATTAGTTTTGACTGAATTCTCAGATCAACAACTTTGATTCCTAATAGCAGTTTGTGGGTTTCCATGATATTAGGTAAATTTGTTGCTAACAATGTAATATCTACCATTTGAGCCGCATCATGACAAAACCAACATAGTGCGTTTGCAACCAGCATGGATCCAGACCAGCCTGCGCATCCGCGCAGTCTGATCAGGATCCATGCTGTTCGCTGTTAATTTCTCCACTTGTAATAGGGTTAATAAGCAAACAGCATGGATCCTGATCAGACTGCGCTGATGCGCAGGCTGGTCTTGATCCATGCTGGTCGCAAACCCACTATGTTGGTTTTGTCGTGGCACAGCTCATTTGTCTTTTGCTGTTTCTTACATGCAAGATCAAGTATTTTGATATACTTGTTTAAAGTTTTACTCATCTTATTTGCAAATAGATAATAATTTAAATTGAAAGGAAAAAAAAACACATAGAGTAGGCAACAAAAGGGTTTTTGATACATGTACATAATACTTGTTTGATATTATCCATTTTGTTTTCTTCATAAAGGTGTATAATAAAAAAAATCGAAGTAAAAGTTACTTATATATGTTGAATAACTTGAATATGTTCAATAATAAGTTATTTCTTTAACAATCAGTTTATCTTTTTTATCACATTCCTTATTTTGTCTAAACAATTTTTGATTAAAAGTCCTTTTGAACTAATTGTTTTCACTATAATAATTTCTTTTTGTTATTATAAGTCACAAAACAATTTGCAGTACATATGTATTTGTAACCACAATCAGACATGTGACTGAGAAGAACATCTCTGATCATAGACATTTTGTAGTGAAAGTTTGACTTTAAATTCAGGTCAGCTTTTTATTTTATATTTTCATCAATTATATACAAAGATCATGCAAAATTGAATGTCTTTACATTTGATTAGACAACTAAAACTTTTTTTGAAGAATATTTTCAAAAGATTTGTCAATTATACGCAAGAATGGCTGTACAAATATATAAGAGCTGTGTCATGACAAAACTAACGTAATGCGTTTTGCGACCAGCATGGATTCAGACCAGCCTGCGCTTCCACGCAGTCTGATCAGGATCCATGCTGTTCACTTATAAACCCTATTACAAGTACAGAAACTGATAGCGAACAGCATGGATCCTGATCAGACTGCGCGGATGCGCAGGCTGGTCTGGATCCATGCTGGTTGCAAACCCACTATGTTGGTCTAGATATAAGAAAACTAATATGACTGTGTAATTTGTTACTTATAGAAATCAGCTCCTGCAGCCGGGAAGAAAGGTGCTGCCCCGCCTAAAGGAGGGCCTCCTAAAGGTAAACAAACTCCTGGAAACACTATGCTGACAGTGACGGGGCCAACCCCTGTAGTCCCCCCTAAACCGGAGGATATTACCAAAGAGTACGTGCCTAATATTAACTTGAAAGTATGAGTCAGATTTCCTTCAAATATGCAGCGAGAATTTGTTTTTTGCCCTTTGAACTACAATTTGCTAATATTTTATCAGCTGGCCCCTTTATATAAGTATAACAGACCTAAAAATAGGGAAAAAAACATTTGAACAAGTTGTTTTTGTTTGTAAATGGATGTATCACCACCAGACTTATTCTTTGGCATTTAATTTGATTGGTACCTTGAAGGAGCTCCAAAGTTTAGAGCAAAAAATTTTAGAATAGATAAAGACGTTTAGAATTAACTATTCTTTAGGATATCCTTAATTATGACATAATTCTTAATTTTCAGACTGTTTTCAGACTGTTTAAAATGGTCTTTTTTGAAATAAGTATGAATCTGATAGATTTGTTTTAAATCCTGAGTTCTCCAAAGTCAAAATTGGAAATTTCCCCCCTTTACCACATTACCAGTGTGTGCATACATTTAAACGTATTTGATATTTGAAGTTTTACTATTTAGTTCTTCAGCCTATGCAGCAGCTGTTGGATCCCTGTTACGACAGTTTAAGGGTAAATTTCAGTCATTGACGGTACCATGTTACGTTGCGTCTGGTGAAACTACAAACCCTGGAGAGCTTCCTTACAGGTACTGTAATATTTTGTTAAAAGTTTCTTTTTATCTTGTCTTAAACAATCATGCATATGATGCTTCTTGAATGATTATGTTTGTAAATAGGACGGAACATTGTGGAATGTTTATACAGTAAATGAACACTTGATTGCAGCAGATATCTGGCAAACATTCTGTTTGTTGACGATTATTTCCCTTTCATTGGTGAATAGGAAAATTGTAATGTACAATTTTAGCTAAACTCTCTACCAGTACATGAAGCACCATTACTTAAATCATAATGGTAATACTTGGAAGAATAAAAAATAACATTTAAGGCTAGTGCCAGCCTAATGGTTAAAGTGTCTTTGTCTCAATACAGGGGTTATGGGTATAAGTCCTTCTTGGGGCACAACTGTATAACCTAATATGCATCAGGACTGGTTATAGTTCCAGGAAGCTGAAAGTTTTCTTTACAAATCAAGTTGAAATAAATAATATTTAAACAAAAATTTAATTTTTTGCCTGGTTGACTAACCTGCTAGTGAGCTAGCTACTTCAACATTCTCATCCCTATTTTATATTAGTCTGACCAGGCATGATAAAACAAAATATTGATCTGTTTATTTTCTGGTTTTACCAACAGCACCAGTAACACGCTATATCTGGAAATCCACTGCCCAGCAGTGAAGCCCCCTCTGGTGGTCATTTCTGATAGCGGAAGGACAGTCACAGACTTTGGTGAAGTATCCCTAGGACAGAATATATTCAAGTCTATTACCATACAGAATATTTCAAACAGGACTCAGGAGGTAAATATTCATCAAGTGTTTGTGATTTAAATACTTTTACTGTGCAACCAGTTTAATCATTGTGTTATTTCCTGTAGTGTGACAAGAATCTACATTGCTATCTGCCATTATTTTGCCACCAGTATAAAACCAGGCCTGTCTGCATTTTCATGCAGTCTTACATGGTTCCTGATGCTGGCTGCCATTATTCTGCCAAAATGTTGCAGGCTCAGTTTTATTGAACCCTCTCATGGATGTGCCCGAAAAACACAGGCCATTTTCCATGCCCCAAGTACCGGCCCAAGCAGAACTCTACATTTAAACATAAAAATTGTGAAATGTAAATTTCAATGGGATATGTTTGTGCCATTCCAGCCACTCCATGTAAAGGGGTATAATTGGTCCCCAAGTAAAATAAGACATGTGCCCTCGACAAGAAGACAAATAACAAACTAAATCATATGGAATTTTGAAAGGGGATTACAGATAGTGAAGCCATTATATCACAGATAAGATGCCAAGAGACATATTTAAAGAGCAGGCAAATTCACTCTTTTCACAAGTGGACAGATTGTAATATTATGATACATACATTTTACTTTTAGTTATCAGCAACTGCATTAGATACTATGGGTCCATTTCAAGTGATGAATGCATTTAGAGTTCTTCCCCCTGATGCAACACATACAATGTTAGTTTCATTTACTCCAAGTGCTGGCAGAGTGGTAAGTGATTTATTTAAATTCTTTTTTTTTAAAGCAGCTTTTTAAAATTTTCTGGCAAAGTTTTTATTCAAGAGATTATCTCCCTTCTTCATGGAGAAATGTGTCTGATACCATGAAGTTACTTCCCTTTATTTAATGGTATCCATTTGCATTTTAACATACAAAATATAGTAGCAAAAAGTTTTCAGCTTTTTGTCAACAACACAGGACATATTTTGAAAATCATTTTGAAAAGAAAAAAATGTATGATTCATATTATTCTTTAGGCTCTATTCACAGTTGATGTAACTTGACTGATATTTTGAATCTGTCAGTTAAGAAAATAATGTGAAACAAATGATGTGATAAGTTCATTTGAAAACCTGATTTAAATGTCTTTGCAGTTTCAAGAAACTCTTAGTATTAGTTGCCTAACTGCCCAGTTACACATCAACCTGGTTGGTAAAGGAGTGAGCCCCCTTATCAGTTTGTCACCTGCTATAGCAGAAGACGGTGTCATGGATATGGGGGCTGTTCTTGCAGGAGAGTACATAGAAAAAACATTTAAGGTAGGTATTCCATAGAACTGATAAGAATATATTGAAAAAAATAGGGATTAGTGTATTTTCATGTACAAGACAATATGACATTTTTGCACTTACTTAAAACACGCATAGAGCCTCTGTAAAGGTTAACAATCTTCAAAGTATTGACGTAAAACAAGTTGGTGTAATATCAAATATTATTAAAATATTCCAGATTGTTGTAAATTATCACTTACTAAGCAGTTTGTAAATATAATATTTCTGATGGATTGCTGCAGGAGACTATTATCTAAATTATCACTGCCTCCTTGGTTAATTAGTAAGTTGGCTTACGAAACATCATTGTTTCTACTCAGGTGCTCATTAAATGTGTGTTTTGGATACCTTATGTAATAAATGGCCAGAGGCTTGTAAACAGAGGCTTGTATAATATATATATACATGTGTATAAAAAACTTTTTTGAGGCTCCAACTGCTGAACCACGTTTACCGGAATTCAGTCCGTAATAGTTGTGAGAGTGTTGGGGTCATCATTCTTATACCTTACAATATTTATACATGTATAATTGATTTGCTTGTATTATATAATTTTATTCAACTTGTTGTTCAATAAATGAGCCGTGTCACAACAAAACCAACATAATGGGTTTGCGACCAGCATGGATCCAGACCAGCCTGCGCAGTCTGATAGGGTCCATGCTGTTCGCTATCAGTTTCTCTACTTGTAATAGAGTTGGTAAGCCAACAGCATGGATCTTGATCAGACTGCGCGGATGCGCAGGCAAGTCTGGATCCATGCTGGTCGCAAACCCACTATGTTGGTTTTGTCGTGACACGGCTCATTAATTATTCAATATTCAATATCCTCTATGTAGCTTTTTATGAAATAAAAACTGTATCTATTTCTGTATTGAATTATTTCTTCTTCTTTCAGATGCAAAACACCTCTTCGTTATCGATAGATTATTCTATACGATTGGAGAGCCTGTCTTTATTACGGCATGCCCACGCTCAAGAACTGCCAAAATTCCTCGATGGCAAATCTAAAACACTTGTAGGGGTGCAGAACAATAATGGTCAAAATGTATTTGATCTTGTACCAGCGGAAGGGACTATAGTTCCAGGTGAGATGCTGTAACAGTTATATACACTTGTCTATTTCATTTATTTGTGAATTTATTAATTTATTTGATTATAAGACATGTTTTTCCTTCTATCGGGTAATTATTGATCACTAAAAATAAGTGATCATTAATAAATAGTGATCACTGAAAATGAGTGATCAATGAAAATTTCATTGATAATAAGTGATCACTGATAATTAGTAATATCTGATAATTACTTATTACTGATAATAAATGATCATTCATAATTAGTGATCACTGAATTGTGATACTGAACTTTGAGATATTTTTGCCGTGGAAGTGGCAAAAAAAAATAATGAACAGAAATTTAACTATATGCAAAATAAAATCTTGGAAAATATTAAAGAATCACTATTTTGTATATTTTTTTCAGGAGGAAATGTTGAGATTACCGTGACCTTTGCCCCTGATCATGCCAGTGACAACTATTCAGATGGGGTTAAAATAGAATTATTTGGAAAGGTAATTCAAAAGTACTCCAAAATCATTATTATTCCTTGGGCACTTATTTTTGTAGAATATTAATTTCAATTTAACAAGGTCTTGATAATTATCAAGTGTTGATGTATTTTATTCTTAATAGCATAACCAAGGGATCATTTTTGCCAGATCTTTACTCTGTTTGAATTTGGAAGTTTCTTGAAAGGGTATAATATACTATATACAGTTGTCTGCTTAATCTGGAACAGCCCATTTTCAGTTTTTTATTGAAAACCCTTAAACTGGAAATGAGTAGTTCCAAATTCACAGCTGGACAAGTCCATTATGAACATTCAACGGAGGTCATCCGTGGCAGAGTGGTTATGGTTGTTGACTTCAAACCACTTGCCCGTCAACACCTGGGTTCATATCAAGACAGGGACTTCAGATTTTTTCATGTGAGGAAGCTATCCATCTAGCTTAAGAAGGTCAGTGGTTCTACTTGGGTTCCCATTTGTGTTTGAAATAATGCACAGAAGGGCACCTGATGTCTTCCTCCATCAGTAAAGCTGGAACGTCGCCATATGACCTAAACTGTGTTGGTGTGATGTACAAACCCAATCAAAAGTTCAACAGGTGAAGGGTTAATATAGAACATATTGTTCATGTAAATAGAAATGTTAAGGTCAAACAACTGCTAAATTCCCTATTTATTATGTTTAATCGATATTCATTGAATAGAGGTTTTATTTAAGGTAAACTGAAAACAATATGAAGTTTCTATTGTTTCAAATAAATTCATTGGAGATTTTGTTATTGTTATTGAAGTTATACGGAAAACAAGATTAAGTTTCTGTTGTTTCAAAAGAATTCGTAGAGATAGATTTTGTTGTTTTGTTTCATTTTTTTGGCAAAAACATATGATATCCTTAGTTACATAGTATTTGTTTTTCATAAAATACTGCAAACTGTGACAAAATTGGTAGTTTACAGCACATTTCCTATTTTATTATTTAAACAATGCCTTTCCTATTTTTCTAGACATTTTCAAAAATGTAAGTCATCCTTTTCAGGACTTCAAAAGAAAAACTTGTGTTTTTATAGTTATCATTGTAACCTAATGAAAATATTTTCTATAGATATATTAGAAAAGTCCAAAATGGTTTTTTTTTTTCCTCACCTCCACCCCCCCCCCCCCCCCCCCTTTAACAAAGACTTATTTAGTTTTATGTAATTGTTAAAGTGGCATAATGCCTATTCAAATGTAAATAGTAGGTGAACTGGTGGATATCAAAATATCTTTACATTTTGTCATAATTCCTTTCAATTTTATGATTTATTTCACATGAACGATAAAGAACTCACATTTCTGTAAATATTCATCAGAAATTACCTGTAATGTACAATTTATAAAAAGGATGGGGCAGTCTTTTTGTATTTTAAGCAGATTTATATTTTATCCTAAACATTTTTCAAACACCATTTTATTACCCAGTCAATCTTTTAAAATATATAGTTTATTCAGCCCAATGAATGAGAAAAATGAGTATAATTTCACTTTAACCCTAGAATAGCTGGAAATGAAAGTAATTAACCTTTGCCCCAAGTACAGTCAGGCCAATCAGCACATCTAGTCACTATAGTGCAGTAATGGTTTAACTTCTATTAAACTATATAAGGAGTTAACCCATTACTGCACTTAGGTGAAGATCTGTATGGTCTGAAGTATACTGTTGGTAGGTCAAGTTTTTATATAAATTATACTGAAATCCCTTAAACTTTGAATGGACTGTTCCAAATTCAAAGCTGGGAAATTCCATTGTGAATATGAGACAGGTCAAGGGTTAAAGATTAAATGGTTATGTGATATAAGACAGGTCAAGGGTTATATATTTCATGGTTATGTGCTATAAGACAGGTCAAGGGTAATAGATTTCATGGTTATGTGATATAAGACAGGTCAAGGGTTATAGATTTCATGGTTAGGTGATATAAGACAGGTCAAGGGTTAAAGATTTCATAATTATGTGATATAAGACAGGTCACGGGTTAAAGATTTAATGGTAATGTGATATAAGACATATCAAGGGGTTTAGATTTCATGGTTATGTGATATAAGACAGGTAAAGGGTAATAGATTTCATGGTTATGTGATATAAGACAGGTCAAGGGTTATAGATTTCATGGTTATGCGATATAAGACAGGTCAAGGGTTATAGATTTCATGGTTATGTGATATAAGACAGGTAAAGGGTTATAGATTTCATGGTTATGTGATAAACTGATAAAATGAAATTTCTTTTAAACAGGAGGAATGTCAAGCGTTCCAGATAAAGGGCATTTCTAAGCAACGCATCATGTTTTTAGAGGGCGGCGACCCAATTAAACCAGAACTTGAATCTCTTGCTGTGAAACCTTTACCACAATTGGACGAGGAAGGTTAGTTAACTTTGACATATTTGTATATTTGACATAGAAATTTCATGAGTTTTTAATAATTTTTTGATAATCATTTTGAATTCCTAATGAAAGATTTATTTTGAAAATTTTCAATGAAATATTTTTAGCAAATTATGAAGGACTGAATAACTTTGGCGAGAAATTCAGTGTATGTGATTTAAAGTTGCAGTATGTCTAAAATATAAATATGATGTTTTGTCTGAAAATAATCTTGAATTACTGCAAAGCTTTTGTTTTAATCTTTGAAAATCTCCGAGACAGGTCAAACATGATGTTCTTTTTTTTATAAAAACTCTTGTTTATATCCTAAAATTTACTTAAAACAACATAGTCGTTAATCAATTTATTTTATTTCATCATTTTAGATCTTAGACTGCAGTTGCCAACAGTTTTAATGACGTTCAGATCCGTGGCTAAAGACGATGCATACCAGCCTGCCAGTAGAGATATTATGATTGGCTGTGTTAGAACCATGGCCGTTAGTCAGAAAAAGGTAAGAACTGAAATCGTGTCGGTTAACTTGCATGTTCTTTTCCCAATAATCTTAACTGTTCAATACAATGAAACTGTTTGAATTTAATAAGTCTGAATTGCTGATTTGATTTTATTGTTAACAAATGTGTGTTTAAAGTCTTTTGTTGCATTGTTAAACATACTTTATAACATTTACACTGTCTTAGTTTTTATGCATCGCAATTTTTTAATGACAACTTCAGACCCGAACTTGATTTTATGGTTATCTCAGAAGAGCAATTGTTTGAATGATAATGTCAGAATAATTTGTATATGATAAAGTTATAACAATTTTATTATATAATAGCAATTGTTTTAATGATAATACCAGAAACTAGATTTTTTTAAAATAAAAATGTCAATTTGTTTCTTGCATTGTAATTTATAAAGTTTCAAGTATAAAAGTATACGGAATAATCTTAGTTAGAATTAACAACTTTAGAATGTAGTATCTCTATATTTAGAGGTTTCTTTTTTAATCTGTCAGACATCTGTGTCTTGAATTTAAACTTGATACCTGTGTACAAGCAGGCTAAAAGACAATAAAGCTAAGGCTGAATGTGATTGGTAAAAAAAAATAGGAGATAATAATTTCTTTTCAAAATATAATAAACATCTAATATGCAAGAAAAATCAAACACGGGCTGTCATTTACATTTGTACCAGACAGGAATATCTAGATCTTGGGTAACTGTTTAGTGGAAACTCGGCAGAGCCTGGTTACCGCTGTAAACAGGTACCCTGGAGTTATTCTGGTCAGTACTGGCAGTCAAATTGTAAGATCCTTGAAGTATTACAACAAAGTTTGAATTAAATGTTCAGCCATAACTTAAATACGGTTAAATACTTAAATTTTTTCTCTGATACCCTGTTAAACACAGGTACTTAAAGGATGTTTGTTATCAAAAAAAAAAAAAATGGATTATCGTCCCAAATTTTTTTTTAACTAAAACAAATCTAGATTATTAACTAATTTAGATAATTAACAAATTTATCCATCTATTTTTATTAATATTCACCTAATAATGATGCTAGTTTTGCACGTATTTGCTGATGTAACATCGTCTCTTCTGTAACAAATATATTGCTTTGCGATACATGTATATGAGATGTGATAGTGTAACTTTAAACTTTAGAATATATTGTACTATGGAATCATTTTACCTAGGATATTTGAGCCGCGTCACGACAAAACCAACATAATGGGTTTGCGACCAGCATGGATCCTGACCAGACTGCGCATCCGCGCAGTCTGATCAGGATACATGCTGTTTGCTTACCAACTCTATTACAAGTAGAGAAACTGATAGCGAACAGCATGGATCCTGATCAGACTGTGCGGATGTGCAGGCTGGTCTGGATCCATGCTGGTCGCAAACACACTATGTTGGTTTTGTCATGACGCGGCTCATTTATAAACGCCTTTTGAGTCCTTACCATAATAAAGATTATGAAATTCACTCTCTGGACTCAACAGGCGCAAGGGTAGAAATAGTTGTCGCCAACAGGCAAAAGGTTAAGGTAAAACTGTAGCCATAAATTTGTTTTCACTCTGGGTACACATTGGGGCCTGAAATTATCTTTTGAGGGGCAACTGATGTCTTGACCATATGAACTTTACAATGTCCGAGTAGTAACTTAAAAACTTAACCCTCTCTCGCCATTTCCTGACTACTCCAAAAATTTCACCTTGAAATGATAAAGTGATTTCATAGTATTTTATATTTGATAGATTTTAACTATGTGTATTAATGGATGCCCTTTAGTTTGATAACTTAAAGAATGTTATGTATTTTTTAGCTGCCTGTTCAAAAACACCTTTAAGGAACTCCACTGAGGTCCAAAAGTCTAAAAACATTAAATTTGAATTTCTTACTTAACACCTTAGTAAGTTACTTATGTTGTTGTAAAATTCTTATTGTATTCACTTATCTGATAATTTGAATAAGTCGACAGGCCAGGGATCTAAGACTGAAACCTGAAAAGGGGCATTCATTATTTCATATTTAAGTTATCATGTTATATTATATTAACAGTTCAGCTTTTTAACAAACTAATATATATTATATAATTTTGCTTCTATATAGTTGCTTTTTATATTATATGATATTATATATAGCTTTTGGCTAACATTTTGGTATTGTGTACACTTGCATGAAAAACTTTTTCTTTTCGTATTAATGATAGTTATTTTTGTATTATCTACAACTGATTAGATAATAAATAATTAATATGGCCAGTAAACATTTTTTTATAACAACCAATGCAATAGTGATGTACAAAGTATTATTTTATTAAAATATTACTGGAAATTTTTTAAAGTTATTCATTTGGTATCCATATAGTTGGTTTTTCAAAGCAAAGTTACTTCCCCTTTTTTTGAAGTTTCATTAAAAATTCAATTTTCACCTGGAAAAAAAGAAAATTCTTGCAAGTGTTCACAGTAGTTGTGATCAAAGTTTTGACATTATTTTCATTTAATAATATTTCTCTTTTGTTACCAAAAAACCTTCCATTCCTGTTGTTTGTGATGCATGCTTCTTCTGTTTAATCCACTTCCTGTTGGCTGATGCATTGTGGGTAATTTTTACCGTCTGCTACATGTTCAGGATCCACCAAAACCAGGATATCGGGTAAACTCATATCATTTAACTGTTTAACTGTTCAGTAATGAGAAGATATTTATATTATGTTATATTATGTTATATTATTATGTTATATTTAGTCACTTAATATAGGAGAAAAAAATGAAACCCTTTAAATAACTACTGAGCTAGTCATTAAATAGGCTCCCTCCAGTTGGCTGTTTAAATTGTTTAATTTTTTTTCTTAAATTTTCTGACATGAGTGTCATTATTTATTTGTATGAATTCAAGTTTATTTTTTAAATGTTATGTTAAAATGCGTTTTAGGATTGATAAAAATTTGACTTATTTAGTGTATTTAAATGATCAGTCATATCTAATAATGTTTCAAGCTGTAATAATATTAAATTAACTAGAAATATATTCTCCATGGGCTGTCAAAAACTTATAAGTTGTGTACATGTACCTTATTGATATTTCTATATTCAAAATAAGAATTAAATCTGAAAAATGGCTCAATTAGTAGGTCTTTTGGCACAATTACATACTTACAGTGAGCAGGGCTGGCAAAATAAGATGTTGACTTACTTGTCCGTTTTTATCTAAAGCATTTCTTAACTTTATGTCCGTATGATATTTATACAGCAAATTCTTGAAAATTTTAACTTTTCCGTACAGGCTGTGGGACAACAGTGGGCAAAATGGACGATTGATTTTGTTCCCTAGTATTCTCTACAATTATTGGAGGGATAGAATTTTGAAATGAAACTTAATTAATTAAGTCCTCTTATAGTTTAATGTGCTTTGTCTTATGTAAATGATGAAAAATGAAAATATTACAAGATTTGCCAGTGAATGATAGGCAGCGATGTTTAAGTTGTGTACAGAAAGATTGCCGTGTAGCTATAGAAATATTTATGCAAGTTTCTCTATTATAGGATAAGGCAATACGGGTAATTCAAGCACACAGTCACTTTACATGCAATGAAAAAAAAAAAAAAAAAGATATGGAAAAGGGTTGCATCGCAAAATAAAGAACACTTAAATCTTTTATCTAGTTGAACACGTGTTACAGGATTTGGAATTTTGATTTAATTATCGAGAGTTACATTTGTAGGATTTCAGTATCAAAAATTTAAAAATTGAGCAGTAGGGATCTCAGAGTCTGGCCAGACTGCTCCATGCTCCAATGGTCAGACTGCTGTATTTTGGTTGTATAAAATCCATTATCTTCAACCCTTAACCTGCTAAATTTTATAAGGTATTGGATTGGCCACAAGCTTTGTAGTTGATTGAAGAGCCCCATCAAAGTTTAAGTGATTTCAATATCTAAATACAAAAATTGACCTACCAGCAGTATAGAGCCTGGTCAGACTGCAGTCAGGCATTACAGATGTGCAGGCTAAAGCGTGGCTTTTTATAGGTGGCAAAGGCTTAATACTTTTAGGTACAGCAAGTTAAGGGTAAATAAAATTGAAGGGTTTGCACATATTAAAATTGAACTATCAAAAATATATGTTTTGTTGTGGTGAACAAGCAGTGTGTGTTTTGTGTGGGTTACATGTAAGCTCTTTTTTATCATTCATATATCTTTAAGATACACATATTTAGGATCCAATTCCGGTAAATTTCTCAAAAAGTTTAAATGATAAAAATTGAAATTTTTTCTAGTACTCAATAACACAAGTAATATATCAAGTGTTTTATATTTAGCTTAATTTTTCAATGAAATGAGGGCTATTCTATTCATCTATTTATCATGGTATCAGGGTAACACTTGGTTACTGTTAAACCAGCAATTTTAGTTCTCATAAAGCGCACCTTTTGCCTTAACTTCACACATATCTTCGGACAATTCACTACTCAAGAAACAAAACTCTAGCATTGATTTTGACTTAATAATTCCCCTTTGTGAAATTTCTGAATGGCATTTTAAGGTTTAAACTGCAAAACTGCAGTAACTTATATGAAATAAAGGACTTACAACTGTTTTGAATTCAGGCCTAAATTTGTCTTCTAATGATGATCAAGCACTGAATGCTGTCCCTATGACAGCACTAACAAATGCTCCCAATGTTGTGGCAGTGACTGCATTCGTGCCTATTAATGGATAAAGCAGTGTTTTTGAACTTAATCCATTTATAAAATTGTAAATATTTTTACTTATTCAGTAAGATTGGTTTTAATTCACAAATATTTTCCTGACAAATACATTGGTTATAAAACTAGATGTAAAACTATACCTGTCATAAATAGACATAATATTTTGACAGATCAAAGATTTCTTCTTTTTTTTTGGCCCACTCGGAAATGTCAAATTTATAGCAGTGTAGGCCCTTAACCTGCTGGGACTAAAAAATGATTAGCCTAAAGCCCTTTGATACCACTGATATATGAAACAGGATAACCAGTTCGTCTGTGCTGTCCAACATTAAGGCTCTAAAAATGTTGATAGTTTCATTTTCATATTTTAACTTTGAATGGACTGTTCCAAATTCAAAGCTGGTCAAATCCATTTCACAAATTCAGCAGGTTACTTAGGGTACAAATAAAAGCCACTGTTGAAATTTCTCAAAAAAAAGAGTTAGATTTTAGAATTAATTGGGCAATCTATGATTTTACTATCTTTGCCTTACTTTATTATTGGGCAATCTATGGTTTTACCTTGCCTTTACTATAATTTAAACTTGAAAAATGATTTTTTTTTATACTAATCATTATGCATGCCAACCTAACAATGATCCAGCAAACTCCATTTACATTGGTGTATGATTTTAAGTGGTTCTGTAGATAAATGATTTGGTGTTGGTTGTAGAGTCCTCTTTCTTTCCTCTGACTCTCTGGTACAAATTATTTCATTATTTACATAACAGTATGTTGGATATCTATAAATAAGTCTTAACGAAAAATATATAAATGTCAAATTGTCTCCTGTGAAAGTATGGTAACAGTAAACAAACCATTATTATTCAGCTATTCATAGATAAAAACGGTAGGAATCTTACAGGTAAACAAGGAAATGAATCTACCATATATAACTTCAGGTGCAGCTAAAAAGTCACCAATGGTCATAACATTTGGTGAATCATTTTCCTGTAAAAAAATAGGATGAATCATGGCAACTTAGAATTATATCAAATGATTGATATAAACAGAAATATTCAAACGATATCTCGATATATAAGTGTATTTTTGGGGTACTTCTGTTATTATTGAATACCAGTACATTTGATAAAATTTCAAGTCCCCATGGATGAATCAGATGTAAATAGTGATTGAGTTATAATTTGGATTCACGCATACATGTAGAAGTGATGGCCGAAAAAGGAAAACTTGCATTCATGGTGGCTAAAGAAAACAAAAAAAAAAACAAACAACTTTTAAAGTCTTATGCAAGTTCAATATGTAACAAAGTTAAAATGTTTGAAATTATGCTGTACACATTTCATCATTTGATTCTAGTAATGAATTTTTTTCCTTGTTTTCCAGAATGGTGAATTTTCGTTTGAAAATGTTCAACTGATAGCACCAAAAGGCTTTACGATTGAGCCACAGAAGGTAACTATAGCATTTTTTTATATGTATAAGCATGAACAATACTTCATACTCTTAAGCTGCCGACTTTTGATAATGGATTAAGAATATCTGGGTTTTTCCCAGCTAATAACAGGTACATAAACTTTTACAGTAACAGCTTCGAAAATTAGCGTGACAGGTTGACTAATCTATTGTGATGGGTAGTACACCGTGAAGTTATAACTGTAAAAGTTAGCTTGTACCTAAAAATAACCCACTTTGCCGAATTCCTGATAAGTTTTAGGGAATTCAGTATCAAAATACAAAAATTTAGCTACCAACAGTATAGCGCCTGGTTCGACTACATAGATGTGCAGACAGGCCTGGTGGGTTTACTAGTAGCAATGACTGATCACTTGGTTCCAGCAGTTTAAGGGTTATACCAGTCACAGAAATTTTATAAAGCTCATGAAACTCGTTGGAATACAAGTTTTAATACAAGTCTGTAACAAATGACTTAAAGGTCCAAACATATATTATATACATGTACATGTACTTATAAATGAAATATTGATGAAATGAAATGCGTATTTTCATTTCAAGTTATTTCACGGAAAGAATTTATTTTTCACTGCAGTGAAACATATTTTCAGTATTTTATCTGGTAACGTGCCAGACTACTTTCTTCGGAATTCAGCAAAAACACAAAATTAAAGGGGAAGTCTTTCAAATTGTAATGTCGAAAAAGAGACAAACGTATATAATAAACACAAAACTTTTTTTATTCTATAAATCACAGGATTTATTTTCATCGAATGGTATGAAAATAAATATTTCAGGATTGGTGGTAGGAAAAAATACTTGAATAGTCTCTAAATATCTTTATGATATGAGTTAATTTTGTAGTTCCCAATCCCACATGGTCAAAAATAATCGTCGTCAGTGACCTTTACCTTTCCCAGCCATGTTGACAGTCAAATAACCGGATAAGTCTTTCCTAGTTATTGGCCAAGCAGAAAGTTCGGGGACTTATAAAATAAGCGGTTGTGTACGAGTGTTTTTGGTTTTAATTATGAGCCCTCTTAACAAGTCACTTTAATTGGTTCGAAAATAGGTTAGTTATATCTTATACATGTTTGAAAGGTCTTCTACTATTTTAAGATATACATGTAATGTAGAAAATTCCTAATTTAAAACATTTTAGGAAACTAACGAAACATTTTTTTTATTTTATGTATTGTAAGAATTTTACATGGAACAAATGTGTACATTTCAGGGCATGGTAGAGGCTGGTATCTTGAAGCCTGTAACTATAACATGGACGCCACCTGCTGGATATGATGTAAGTTATCTTATAATCACCCGTCATTATTATATGTGGTACTCAAACATGGTTATTAAACTTACATTTTAATTACACCTCCAAATTAACTCCAAATATAGTAAAGTCACATAATATTTAGTTTCCACTTTTTGCATCCTTAAAGTCTGAATTTTCTAAATGACTGTATATTCCTGATGAACATAAACCAGTAAATGAGTAAAGTAGCTTAAACGTACTCGGGTGTTCTTGACGTGTTGTTCTACATCCTTTTCAAAATGTTAAATTAATTTGTTATATTTTTTAAGTTCATGAAGAGTACATTTGGAACAAGCATGCGGCTTATAAGGGCTTGTTATCTGTCCATTATCAATTTTAGGGACATCAGGATTTAAATTTGGAAATTGTCCATCAAACAGTATGGAACCTAGGAGTGAATCATATTTTGACCTTGATTTATTCTGGTGGCATGGTTAAGGTTAATGGTAGTGTTTTAAGTAAGAGGAACTGTGTAAAGGTCATATGGTGCCTTTAGGGATTTACTTTTGTAGGAATACTGGAGGTCCATTCATGCATGATTTTAGGGTTACGTGGGTAACTTTGTTTTTTAACTAGCTCTTTACATCACTAATAAAAACCCCAAAATATCAACCCCCAACGTCAG